AGAAACAATGTTCTTTTAACGAAAGAGTTTGTTGTGATTCCTACAAAATTGGAAATTGAAAGGTGATCCTTGTTTTGAGAGAAGAAAGAAAAAATTGATTACTAAGTCATATATTGTTACAAAGGGGGAAGTATTACAACAATGCCCCTAGGGCAGTTTTTATATGTGTCCATTTGATTTCATCCCTGGATAGCCTTCTGGTATTGGCAGCCGTCTGATATCTTATGATGAATTGGGATCGGGCTTGGGTTTTCAGCTCTTGATCCAATTCAGCCTCATTCTTTGTATATTTCTCAAGCAGACGTTGTTCATTGATAATTTGCTTATCCAGGGTAGACTGTTCTTTCCTTAGCTCCCGCAATTCTGCCTCCTTTTTCTGAATAGCTTCATCAACTTGAGCTTTCGTGCTAAGGAGATCACCCAGCCTTCCAGTAGTCTGCTGAAGGGATTCTCGGGTCTTAGCCAAAGAATTCTCCAGCGTTGTTTGATCGAAGTCGGGCTGGGGGGTTTCGGCTGACAGGAGTCCAATGACTAGCACTTCAGTCTTGAGCTCTGTAAGTCTTTCCATCAGCCGATGCAGAATGGGGACGGCTGGCGATTCCGTTGGAGTGTAAAAAAGAAGGCCACCAACCGTCTGAATGAGTTTGTCCAATAAGTCGGACCTTAATTCTGACAGGGGTTGGTTGATGGCCTCAGTGATTATAGTCTGGGCCTCCGCTGGAACTGGAACAGTCGATAGGACAGCTAAGTCCGAAGGCCCCTGTAAGGCCTACAATGTCAATAAGTATTCCAAGGGAGGTGCAAATTTATTCATATAAGATATGTGTTACCTCTGGGCGGACTGCTGTCAGTGAGGGTGGCAGCAATGAGGTCGGTCGAGTAGGGCAGGCAGCTGGTATAATAGCAGCCGACTCGTCGGCTGCTGCGAATGGTCGCTGAGGTGCCGACCTGGGCCCCTATGGAAAGTGGTATATGAAACAGTTAGTGTTTTCTGAAAGAAACATTGTAGCATGGATTGGTTTAATCTTACCAAATTCACAGAAGTCTCCGATTCGGACGAAGACATTTCTTCCATTTCTGGAGGTTGGATTGCCGCAGGTGGTTCTTCTGCCTGCCACTCGATGGCTAGAGGGAGCGCCGCTGCTGGTTGGGCGGCTGCAGGTTGCGCGGCTGCATCTAGAGCCACTGCAGCCGGGATCTCTGGGGCACCTCCGATTTCGGGATCAGCAACATCAAGGATGTCGTTTTGAGGGTCAGCTTCGGCGAGGGCAGTTGGTCCTTCCTTCGAAATGGATGAGTCTGATGCCATGTATGGCAGTTGACCCATCTGGGAAGTTGTCCCCTCACTGTCCGAAGAGACCCCTGCTGCTGATTCGATGGGTGAAGGTGTCTGTGAAAAATCATGGAAATGTTGTTGTTAAATATATCAAAGTTGGTCATTAGAATCCTAAGTATTGCTGATGAGAGAACTTACAGGTTCTATAGGCGCTGCTGGTAAAGATTGCCTCCCGGTCGGGTGCCTGGCCCGACCGCTCCTCGGTGCGGGAGGAAGAGTTTGCCTCCTCGTCGGGTCCTCCGCCCGACTGCTCATTGGCAAAGTGAGAAGTGGAGTAGGGGTTTGGAGAGGAACTGCCTCAGTCGGGACCAAAGGTTGGTCGGCTGGGGCTGGCGTCGGTTGTGTGGTCGGTGCTGCCAAGGTCGGTTCTGGTGAATGATATGTGAAATCAAAGTTAAGATATAGTGAATTGGTTCACGGTTTTAAGAAAAATTACCTAGTCGGGGTCGGGTCCTTGCTGACGTCCTAGTAGTTCCAAGGTCCGCTTGAGCTTGCTGGTCGGCCCCAGAGGTCGGGGGTGTTTGCAGCTGGGAAGCTTTCCTTTTTCGTATTGGAACACTTGATCCGGTCCCCGGGGCGGTGGTTTGTTGTTGAGTGCTAGTATGTCTAGCCGCCCCTAGAACCAATCCTTGGGGTGGAAGGAGTGTGTTCAGCAACCGACCCTCATCAGGGGAAATCAGGGGCCATACAACCGACCACCATTCATTGAAAGTATCTACAGTCTCAGGGTTGGAGCGGAAAGGAATATACGAATTGGAAATTATACACGTGGTGAGCTGGGAGATATAAGAAGGGATTGAATTTGGTAGGACTCGTCGGTCGGGACTTTGAAAAATTATATGAGGACAAGCGACGGGTCCAGGGATACCTTGGCAACAGCCGAACTGGCGCGCCATGAATTGAGGTTCATAATTAAAAGTGTAAAAGGTTTTCTGCCCCTTTTTATCAAGTTTTTTGCTACTAAAAAGAGACCTGGGTTTGAGGGCAACGTCCCAGGCAAAAGGATAAGTGGGATGAGGACAAGGCTCAGGAGTCGGAAGTGGGTTTGGTGCTGGAAAGGGCCAAAAATGGTCGGGAGCATAACCCGCATACTTTTTATACATAGAAAATCGAGAGTTACTGCGGATATCTGTTAAAATTGCGGTGATTATTGGATCGGAAGATTGGAGTTTATTGCGTCCTGAGCAGAGTCGGTTGAGGGCTAATCCCAAATGTTTTTCAGCTATTGGCATAGTGGGCGGAGATCCTAAGTTGAACGCGTTAGGGAAGTAAAGACGGAACCAAAGTTCTAAAAACCAAAAAGGACCCGATGCAGCAGTGTCTAATTTTCTACTATCATTATCTGTTAGACGAAGGCTAACTCTAGTAAGTCCTTCAAACAGATTGGCTAAAAACAGGGTGCCAAGGGAAAAGAACCGACCTGACGCGATATGAATGGCCAGGTCGAGATGAGAAGGAAGAACACATTTGGAAGGGGAAACAATGATGTACCTACAAAGCCAAAAAAGGATAAAGGCAGTATGCTCCCGGTCGGTCACAGGGGTCCCTGGAGCCCCTTGTTGGTCGGTTGCGAACTTTGTCCAACCCCATTCCTTCACACCTTGTAAAGACCACCCTGGATGGTCTTCTGATGGCTCCTGCCCATCTAGGGCTCCCATCACAGGGTCTTCACCCACGACTGGGAGATGCGCGATCATTGCCACATCCATAAGAGTTGGGCCAAAGGGGCCTGATGGTAAGAGGAAAGTCCCATTTTCCGCATTCCAGAAGGCAGACATGGCCAGCAGCACCTTCTCATGCAGGTTGATAGGCATGGTGGACAATAGTATGGCCTGGTCGATTTTTTGAGATCGCCATTGGGTTTGGAAGTGTTCTGCTACCCGTCGATACCAAGCGCGGTAAGGATCTTTTGGGTCTGTGAGATGGGTTTTGATGCTGTCACGAATGTGAACTGCTTGGTAGTTAGGGCTGTTGATAGCCAAGGAATTTCGGGATTCCAAGACTTCCCTCATCCAATTTGAATCTTCAGGAGTAGTGCAATATGGACGGATCGTCGGAGTCAGTACTTTCGAGGCTGAAAATGGGCCCTCCGGGAGGGTTCCGTCGAAGGGAAGGGCAGGAATGTATTGATTCGCCATGGTTAGAGTGTTTTGGGATTGTGATTCACAAAAGCTTGTATTGCGGAGAAGGAAGTTAATCAGGAGTGTTGCAGTAACTGGTGCAGTTGCTAAGGGAGTTTTTCAAGAGGGTGGTGATTTATGAACTTCCAAACATTGATTGTTAAATGGCGTTTGAAAGTCCCTTGGCGGCGGGCAAGTTGTTACGTACGAAATTTAGAATTAGGTTAAAAGCTCAAGGTAAAAAGAAGAATGGGCCTGGCAATAGAGTTGATTGAACTGACTGAAGGGTACCATGAGGAAATCAAGGAAAATAGGTTTATTACTAAGGAAAGTCCTCAGGTCGGAAGGTCTTCAGGTCGGTAGGTCCTCAAGACGGAAAGTCATTAGGACGGAAGGACCTCAGGTCGGTAGGTCCTCAAGACGGAAGGACCTCAGGTCGGAAGGTCTTCAGGTCGGTAGGTCCTCAAGACGGAAAGTCATTAGGACGGAAGGACCTCAGGTCGGTAGGTCCTCAAGACGGAAGGACCTCAGGTCGGAAGGTCTTCAGGTCGGTAGGTCCTCAAGACGGAAAGTCATTAGGACGGAAGGACCTCAGGTCGGTAGGTCCTCAAGACGGAAGGACCTCAAGTCGGAAGGTTTTCAGGTCGGGAGGTCCTCAAGACGGAAAGACCTCAAGTCGGAAGGTTTTCAGGTCGGGAAGACCTCAAGGCGGAAAGACCTCAAGTCGGAAGGTTTTCAGGTCGGGAGGTCCTCAAGACGGAAAGACCTCAAGTCGGAAGGTTTTCAGGTCGGGAAGTCCTCAAGGCGGAAAGACCTCAAGTCGGAAGGTTTTCAGGTCGGGAGGTCCTCAAGACGGAAAGACCTCAAGTCGGAAGGTTTTCAGGTCGGGAAGTCCTCAAGGCGGAAAGACCTCAAGTCGGAAGGTTTTCAGGTCGGGAAGTCCTCAAGGCGGAAAGACCTCAGGCCAGATGGTTCGCAAGTCGGGAGGATTGGCGGTCGGACCCATACTATTGTAGATTGGCAGTCGGGCCAAAAGAGCGGAAGGTCTGTGGTCGGCTCAAAGAGTGAAATATAGGGATAATTTTGGTCCGCTGGGGACGCGTGTCAGCATGAGAAGGGTTGGAAGACGGTTGGGAAGGAGACGTTGTAACCGTTCGGGTGACGGTTTTCGGTACGGTTTCCCAGAGAATATTTAAAGGCTTGGATAATCATTTGACAAGGCATCTTCAATCAACTTCAACAAAGCAAAGTCAGATTTGGGGATCACCACTTTAAATTTCAGTTTTTTATTTTCCAGTTTATTTTCTGTACCATACAGTGTTTAGAGATTCCTAATCTCAGGCACTAATTAATCAAGTTTAAGGATATTTTCTATATCTTTGAATTTTACTTTATTTTTGTTGAAAAATTACATCAACACATTCAAAATATAATATAAATTTTTAATTTTTATATATATCACATCTTAAGAAAAGTTAAAATTCAAAATTTTTTACTATTTATATATGAATCCAAAATCCAAAATCCAAACTTTCAAACAAACACATCCTTGAACTACACTGACAATGCACTGAAAGTTCGAAAAGATCGTCGCCACAAGTGAAGCGACCCAATCCTTTCCATGGCTTCTGTATCCACGAGCTCTGCGTTGCACCTTCCTCCCCTTTCCGTTCGCCGCGGCGGCGGCGGCGTCGTCTCAAGTCCCAAGCTACTTCATCCTATGGTCGCCGACGCCTCTCTGGCTAGTGCTACTGCTAACCACAGCTTCCTCTCGATCACGACACCCATTGATCTGACGCCCGTGCTTAAGAACAAGTGGAGGACGCGCGTCTCCTTCTTCACAGGTTTGTTGGGAAAGAATAAGACGAAGAATGCCGAGGCGATCAAGGAGGAGCTCTTCGAAGCCATTGCGCCTCTCGATCGTGGCGCCGAAGCTACTCCTGAAGATCAGGAGAAAATCGATGAGGTATTCGAACTGTTTTTCTAGTTTGAGCTAAAAGTTGTGGTTTAATCGGTATTCAATTATGTGCACTGTTATCCTTAGATAGCTCGGAAATTGGAAGCGATTAATCCGACCAAAGAGCCTCTGAAGTCCGAATTTCTCAATGGAAAGTGGGAGCTCATATACACGACCTCGCAATCAATTTTACAAACACAGGTATGGAGTATTGATCTGTTCCTAAATCAATGTCGACTTATCTGTAATTCGGTTGGATTGTTGTTGAAGTCATTGCTGTGTTCCTAATTTTAACTGTGAGCAGAGACCTAAGTTCTTAAGATCTAGAACAAATTACCAAGCTATTAATGCAGACACACTTCGGGCTCAAAATATGGAATCCTGGCCATTCTTCAATCAGGTAAACTTGATTCTTCAATCAGTATACTGCCTGCTATTGTTCATGCTAAACAGATTCTTGACTGAATTCTTTATGAAATGATTACAGTAAAATCTGATGAACAATCAGTTGATGCTTACACATTTAGGAATCCTTGAATCTTTCTAGCTGGCATAGCTGCGTGGTGTTATTTTTGCTATGTTTATTCAACAAACAGGTCTTATTGGCAATTGGCTTTTTGGAAATTAGTGTTTAACTCTCAAATTTAAACTGACAATGTGCTTTAAAGCTTCGATAGTTTTTCATGGTCTCCACATCCTTTGTTTATTGTCAATTATGTTATAGGAAGTGTGCCGTAAGATTTTATGCCTAAAATTGATTATGTTTTAGGTTACAGCAGATTTAACACCTTTGAATGCAAAGAAGGTTGCTGTAAAATTCGATGTTTTCAAGATTGGGGGGCTGGTAAGTTGAATCTTAGAAACTCTACTTGCAATCTATGTTTACAACAATTTGTTCATATGTGACGATGCCAAACTGCTTGTTCACAAATTGTTCTAGCAATAAATAAACTGGTCTGGATTGCAATACCCCTCACTATTTATGAGATGTTCCCATTGAATGACGTCTCGAAAAGGGCAAACACAAAAACAACACATACATAAACTAGATTCTTCAAAATATTCAGGGCATTGCAATGCTTTCATTTCGATTTTGCTTTACCCATTGGAGCTTCTCCATATTGTTTGTGATGCATATGCATAATGCAATAACAGATACCTGTTAAGGCTCCAGGACGAGCTCGTGGGGAGCTTGAAATTTCGTACCTAGATTCACAGTTAAGGTAAACATGATCCATAAACTCAGCAATACAAACTTTCAAGAATCTGAGCTTCATTGTTCTTAAATCATATTCAATGCAACCAATAAATATATTCCTCTCTCTCTCTCTCTCTCTCTCTCTCTCTCTCTCTATCTATATATATATATATATTATCTTCTTGTTCTCCATCCATGCTTGATTATATATTTGGTGGCTGCAGGGTGTCAAGAGGTGACAAGGGAAATCTCTTTATCTTAGTAATGGTTGATCCATCCTACAGAATCCCTACTTGATATGTACAGATAATCAAGGTATTCTTTTCATCTCCTCTCATAGTTACATCATTTAATTTTTATTTATTTTTACCTGCTCTTCCCCTAAAAATTTACTATCCATATGATTTGGTAAGAGTTTTTTGTGCATAAAAATGTTGTAAACTGCAATGAATGTCCTATATAATTCGATTTTGTTTAATTGCCTAATGCCTAGCTTGGTTTAAATATATATATATATATATATGTATGTATGTATTCTCTTTATTTAACATTTCCCTTTGGGGCCATGTTTACTGCTTAGTACAGTTGAGGGTGTGTATATTATGTGGATAGTTGAGATTATTTAACGGATATCATGTGCAGTTTAATGGTTTTCTTTTTTTATTTTTTAATTTTTACATTAATCACTCGAATGGGCTCACGGATAGCTCGAGTGATAATATATTTATATTATTTATATATATATATTAATATAACATGTCATACTTTTTATTTCTGTCCGTCTATCTATTTTTCTTTTATAGAAAAAGATTATACACTCTAATCACATTATAAATTTTATAATATATATTTTTTATTTTAATTATACTAATTAATTATTTTTTATTATATATTACAATTGTTTTTATTGATAAATTTTTAATTATTTTAATTGTTTTTATTTTTCATTGATAAATTTTTAATTATTTTAATTGTTTTTATTTTTTATTGATAAATTTTTAATTATTTACTAAGTAACAATGCCATAATATCCGGGAAGGAGGAAGTAATTATAAATAAAAAATTTGAATATTTTATTATAATAAATTAGGAATAAAATTAAGTATATTTAAATTATATATTAAAAAATATATTCCCTCAGTCCCTAAAGTAAGTATCCATTTGCTTTGTACGTAGTTTTAGAAATATAGTATTATATTGGGATATAGTATGAATAAAATAGAAATGACTAAAATAACCTTATTAGTATGTGTGATATAAAGATAATGTCATTTGTGTAATATATTGTAAGTTGTAAGGGTATTTGTAATGTTAAGTAGATAGTACAATTACAAAAAATAAATAAATAAATACTTTGTTATGGGACGGACTAAAATAAAAAAATAAATATTTTGTTATGAGACGAAATGAGTATTAAGAATTATAAGATTCATGTTGAACTTAACTTGAATTTGAACCTAACAGGCCAAACCGAGTTTGAATAACCTGTACTTGAGCTTAGTTCACTTAATAGCTTTGCTTAGGGCATGCACAATTGGATATCTCCATGGATAGATATCCATGTAGGATGCCAAGTCATTATTTTAAATTTAAAAGAATTAGAATTTTTCACGGCCATCCTTCTTTTGTTTTCTCTTATTTTAATAATATTTGTATTTGTATTTTTATACTTTTTTATCATATAAAATTATAGTATTTATAAAATAATATATTGATATATTTTTAAAATTTAATTTTAGTAATAAATAATTTTGATATAAATGTAAACATATGTATATTTATTGATTTTAAAGAAAAATAATATAATAATGTGGAATAAATGTGATATGGAGGTGAAGATGCTTTTGATAAGCATCTTTGTTGCAATAGTCTTTGTCAATTTTTTTCCTTAAAAACTAATATTATTGTATGTTTTACATAAGAAGCATGCTCTTCATGTGGCAATGCCAAGTATATAGAAGAGTGGAAAAAAACCAGTTGGTATGGTGCAAGTAATTTGCTCCGTTAACCCTAAGTAAAAAATTACTCCATAATGCATAAAAGAAAACATTAGGGCAAAATAATTTGGACTTAGAGTTGGGCCAACTACGTACAGGCCCAAGCACATAAGTTGGCCATCGGCGGCCCTAAACCCTAAAGGCCGAACTTGCATATATGTATGTATGTATGTATATGTAAGTGGAACGTCGGCCTGTCTTCTCTTCTGTTGACGCGCTATGGAGTAATAATAATGATGAGGAGGAAGAACAAGAAGAAGCATTATAGGGTTTGGAATTGGGTGGGTCTCCTCCATTAATAAATAGATAGATAGCTAGCACTGATAGCGAGAATTAAATTGATTATAATTACAATTATAATAGTGTGCAAAAGTCAAAAAGTACATGTGTATGTCTAGAAAGAGCATCCCAAGGTCAAACTAAGCTCTCAATAATAATGTGATGGCTGTGGTGCAGTAGCAGCAGCATTTTCATGTGTATAGAAAACAAACTGTCCACAGGAACAAAGAAAAAGAAAGTTTAATTTTTGTTGGGTGCTTTCCATGCATGGCGGACAACCTGCTTGTCATTTATACACACACTACAACACTATTTATATAAATGATAGAAACAGAAACCACACCACCTTTATTGGTTATATATATATATATAGATACTCTTTTCTATCTATCCAAACAATTTAGTGCCATTTAATTTGCACCTAGCTAAGTTAAGAGATAGATCTAGTTCTTACTTCTTATATCTTTCAACAATAATTTTGTTATATATATCATAGAGGATCATTTCATGAAAAATCAATTAAGAAATAGTTACTGATGAGAATATATATGATGGAATTAATTAATGTGAAATTATAAGTAAGAGGTAGCTTTTTGGGTGGTAGTGGTAGTGTAGTAGGGACAAAAAGTGAGGGAGGGCATGCAGCAGCAGTAGCAGCAGCAGCAGCAGCATAATGCAAAAGGTGGTGCCATTTCGGTCTGGAAAAAAAGATAAAAACAAATAATGATGGAAAGGTAAATTAGATGGTACAGCCACCATGCACGCTCTTCTTCCCCTTTTTCAACCTACCTAATACTAAAACTATCCATTCATTCTTACTTCATTAATATATATATATATATATATAGATATAGATATAGATATAGATTGGTGTGCATGCATACTAACTGCAGTTGGGGTTAGATTTAGATAAATAAGTACTATATTATTATTATTATGTGGTGGTTGTTTCTGAGAAGCAAAATTTACAGGGCTTGATTATGCTGCTTTGGCATTCTGTTCACCTCCTCCATATCCAATTCCATATTGGAATTTGGATGGATGGATTCCCAAGTTATATGTATATGTATATATCTGTAGGTGACCAGTCTGTCAAACCAGCACTGTAAATTGCTCACTCAGACAAAACTCCTCCACACAACACATAATTTATAGTGTGTGTGTGTGTGTATATATATATATATTATATGTGGAGATGGAGATGCAGATGGAGATGGAGATGGAGATGGAGATGGATATGGATCAGATGGCCATCAATCACATAAATATGAATGGTATCTGGTATTTGTTTCTCTTTTTTATTTTTATATGTTACTATCTTGTTACTTAGCTTGAATCATACTTTTGCACTTGGTGGTGTATTCCAAATATTGGGGTTTCTTTGTTTTGTATGTGTTTGAGTTTTTCTAATATTAATTTAGTACGATATTTTGTGAAAAAATATTTATAGTGAAAACACGGATATGTTAGGTTTAAAATGCATGCCAAACAAATCTCTAAGTAGTGTGTTTCTTACTAGTTTTAAAACACCACCCTCCACTCGAGTTCGTTTTTTTATACGAAGATACTGTCAAAGTGAAAGCATATTTGTATATTGATCATAGCTTATTGGTGGCCGTTAAGGTCCTGATTGGATCAAATTGGCATGGTATTGATTTGACATAGCATGTTTATATATATCATAACATAACATGTACTATGTGAAATTATATTGTGTGTCGTCAGAATATGCGTGTCTGATCAAACATGCATTATTTGTTTTTATTATATTTGTTGACTAGATTAAATCAATACTATCACATAACCTATTACAATTTTTTTTTTTTTTTTGAAAGAAATAATAATAACTCTGTTTAATGTGAATTTTTTCAATGAGTTTTACTGTACATTATTTTTTATTTTCTAATAAAAATATATATTATTTTATTTTATAAAATATCTTATTTTATTATTTAAACTAAAATACAAAATCAAACAAATAATCAACAAAGTCTTGTTGTTATTTGAGATTTTTTTTTTGTATTTTGTATTTTGATACTTTCTAAGTGAAATAATTTTTAAATATAAAGAGAGAATCCTAATTATAAGGAAGTGAGGTGTGTTTTGTTTTGGTGATGGAGGTTTGATTGAATTCGGAATTGTAATCTTTCTTGTTATTGATATAATGTGTATTAAATTAAAATAAATGTAAAACATATGTTCAATTTTATTATTTTAATTATATCCCAAAAAGATATGTTCTTTTTGTCTACTTGGTAAGTATATATTTCATCATTTTGAGGATTTGTAGTATTTTAACACTGCATGCAAATCATATATGTTGTACAATAATCAAACAACAAAATACGAAAAAAAAATCTTGAATTCGAAATAATGTGATAAATTCCTATGTTTATGGGCACATGCGGCAAGAATATACTACTCAGAAAGAATTTCAAATACAATATGTCCTCGACATTAACAAATAAAACCAATAATTGAAACTCAAATCAATAACTAGTCAACGTCAAAGGTTATGTTTTTTTCTTGGACAATCCGATGCTCACTCCAAATTTCAATTAAAATGTATGACTTAACATTTTTTACTTATTCTTTCTTTTTCTTAATTAGCTACCAGTGTGTATATGTATATATATATATATATATAGTTTAGGGTTTAACCATGATTTTATTTTGAGCTTAAATAATGAGTTTAATTTCAAGCTACAAAATAAAAAATTATCATCTTGACTTAAAAACTATCAAACTCAAAACAAATTAACTTTACAATTGTTAAAATATATTTAGAAGCAGTATATTATATTTATGGTAGTTATTTTATATAAGAAATTTGTAAAATTCTTGCATTATTTAGACGATTTGTTATCACTATAAATATGCACATATATTCTTACGATTGAAATTGATAATTTCAGTTTATTATTCTAAGAACAATATGCATTCAGACAATCACATACCGGAACTAATCAAGTTCTAATGTCTGATCTTGAATATATATATATATAAATCTTCTACATTCACATGTGTACTATAAGTGAAACAAGTGTCTTTATCCTTCATAATCCAAAATTTTTCTTGTTGAACAATACAGATGAAAGTAATTAACGAAGGACTATAGAACTCGTAGCCTAGCTCCTCTCTAATGATTCTATGTAATTTGCCAAATATCTTGTATCAAATTTATTATCATTAAAAGAATACGTTGTCACAGCAATATCAGAAAGACTTTCGACATAAGACAACAAACGCAGATACCCAATCACGAGATCAATAAAGGGCTTACGGGTTTCCACAACTAATTCAATTGTCCATGAGTGCAACAACTCGAACGGAACCAATAGCTCATAATTATTTTTGCTATCAAATGTTTTTCAATTTTGTATTTTGCTTAGAAGCATCCAAAATCAAATGATTGTACTATCTGATAATACAAGCAAAACCAAGGCTTTGATACAACTTTATTGTAAAATCGACGGGCAAAATACGACAAAATCATTGATATTAAATAGAAAATGAAAGAGAAGAATTTACGTTGTTTGGGATAAATTCCTACGGCCACATGCAAAGTGACAAAAATCCATTAATTAAGGAGTTCAAAATACAATATGTGATTAAAAGCAAAACCACATCAAATAACCAACTATGATTTGTGTAGCAAACCAGCAAAGTCAGCAAAGTTGATTGTGTAATTAAAAAGTGTATTAATAAAAATAATTGTAGATTAAGATTAAAAATAGTTTACTTAAAGTTAAAAAATTATAAATTATAAATTTTAAAATAGATTAAAGTAAATAATTATATTTTTTTTTAAAAAAAAAAGACAAATTATGTAGGACAGACAAATTAGGTGAGACGGAAGGAGGAGTACTCATATAGTATTATCTGATTGTCGTATCGGATTCGAGTGAAAATCAACTCTAATCCAATAAATTTTTATAATGTCGGATTCGTGTTGACTTGAACACATAATTGAATTGAAAATTTTAAATCAAACTCGATTAATTTATCTCGTGTGTTATTGGGCCGAATTAGTTTTTGTAAGCTAGAAAGTACCTAACATTTTTTGGCTGAATTATAGTAACATGTATTGGGCCGAGTCAATAGGTTGGGTTGAAATTTTTCATAGTTATATTGGGCCGAGTGCATTTGATTATTTGGGCCGTAAGATTATATTGAGCTGAATTAATATAATGTTTATTTGGGCCAAAATGATTGGATCGTTTATTCAGTCTGTATCACTAAAATTGGGTTGCAAATATATACTTGTTTTTAGTTTGAAATATTTTGATGTGAGCATATAAAATTATATTGTTAATATATATATATTTTTTTTATTATAATTTTTTAATAAGAAAATATAATATATTATATATTGTAGTCGTGTTAGTAAAAAAGATTTTGTGTGTACTCCCTCTATTACGCTCAAAATGTACCATTTTGCATTTTTAAAGCAAATTAATAATGATAAAAAAAATTATTAATAACTAATAAGTAGAAATGTGTAATAATATTTTAAAATGTTTGTTGTTTGTCTTTTATACATAAAATAATATTTTTTTAGTCCGTCAAATTTACTCTCATTTTTTCTTTTAATTTGTCCATCAAATTTACCAATTATTTTTGACAAAGTCAACAAATCAAAACTTAATTATTATCCTTAATTCAACAATTATTTACAACAAATGTCACTAAAAATACCTTCATTACCTTTTTACTTTTATCACTTTTTCAATAAAATATTCATTTTTTTAATATCCCAAATATTCTAATTTTTGCGGACATATGGAGTAATATATATAATTATATATTTATAATTTATATAAAAATTAATAATATATCGATATCAATTAAGATCGCTTTTACTCTGATAAGAAAAAAATGAATATACTCTCTCCGTTTCACATTAATATATATATTTTATTATTATTTTTGTCCATTTTGCATTAATGTATATATATGTATATTTATTTAATAACAATTATGTTCTTTACTCTTTTTTTTTATATAAATATTTTTATTTTATTATCAAATCATTACTTTTACACGTGAAAGCAAAACTATTTTCACACTATTTTTAACTATTCATTATAACTAAAATATTATTCCTTCATCCGTAGTTACATTTACCTTCGAGTTATTACTTAGTATTAAAAATATTTTTTTATTTATATAATTTTTTATATAAATATTTTCCTATTAGTATTATAAAAAATTTTGCCATTTTTTTTTTTGTTTGTACTATATTTTGACTTAATAATTAATATTTAAATATCAATATTTAAAAAATAAACGTAACTCTAAAAGCCAAATGAAGTAGTACAGTATTATTTTTTAAACTTCACCTTCTTTTGAAGTACTCAAACGTACTTAATTCATTTTATTAGTTTTACCATATTATACAATTGGATATATTTTACAAATCTAATTTATTTTGACAAATCTAAATATAAACAAATATTGGGTGTGTTAATTTATGAGATTTGATTTTCGATTTTATTATTATTTTTTTTTTTTCTATAAAACATCAATTCAATTACCTATTTATTATATTATTACTAAAATTAATTTTTACATTCAAAATATCACATCAATAAATATATTTATATTACATCAAACAACTATTTCAATTTAAAATTTTACTATTTAAAATAATCTAACAAAATATAAAATATTTTCTGAAAAAAACCTACTTCAGAGGTAGTGTTTTTTTCCTTTTTATTAATTCAGATGGATACACGTACATATATATATATATAATTAGAGAGCATTGACAGCAATCTTCATTCCAGCTTGACAGTGACCGGGGATGAGGCAGATGAAGAAATTCTGGCCCTTGGCGAGCTTTATTTGATCCTTACCAGTCCGGAGAATTCGGGCCCCACTCGGGGCAGCGCACCCATTGTAGCCACGTCGGTCCACCTGCACCACGTTGTGGGCCAGTGGACTGTAACTGAACACTGCCACGTTACATACCGTATCCATTTAGTTCTTTGAGTTTGAATTTCATATTTGATAAAAAAATAATAATAATAATAAAAAATATAAAAACAAAAATACTCTTATCAGTATTGCATAATATAAAATGGTGATATTTGTATAATATATTAAAAGTTTAAAGAATATTTATTAAGTAGTACAATTACTAAATTAAAAAATAGTACGACGAAAATAAAAAATGGAACCCCCTTCTCTCAATCTTGGATATGGTATCCTTTTAATAAAAATAATTTTGAATTAAAATTAAAATAACTAATTAGTATAATTAAAATTTAAAAAAATTATAAATTAAAATTTAAATAAGATTAAAAAAATGTATAATACTTTTTTTTTTTAAAAAAAAAGTGACATAAGAAGTGAATAGACAAAAATAAAAAGATGAACACAATAAAAAAATATTTTTCTATATATAAAAATATGATTCATAGATAATGATAGATTTATAAAATATCTAAGTAAACAGGACATTAATACAAAGAAATAAAAATAGAGAAATGAAAATAATTTTGTTTTTCTTATTTGGTTTAAACAGAAAATTTTAATTTTTTTTCATGTACGAAATAAATAAAAAGAAATGAAACTGTAAAAGTGTTGAGTGTTTATTTATCTATTTATTTTATTTTTTTATATTTAATTCTTATCATTTAATTTGTGTTTATTTATTGTTATTTTTTATTTTTTTTACTATTATTTAATTTTTATATTATTTAAATTATTATTAAAACAAATTATCAAACTAATAATATACCAGAAAAAAGTACACTAATATATTTTTTTATCCAATTTATATTTTTTAGTGATCGAATTATTTTTATTCAACTAGCAATACAATATATTCTTTTTATGCATTTTATTTTATTTTTTATATATATTTTTCAATTAAATTCTTTTGATGAATTCTCATGTTTTATTGAATTCATTTTCTACTATCATGACGGACCACTTACTAATATGTCCCAATAAATATTGAATATTCATTCAGTTTAGTATGAAAGAATTCATTTATTTATTATTTTTAATAAATTTTGAAATATTAATATATACGTATATTTATAATATTATAATAACAATCATACCCCTAATAAGGACCGCAATCGTAAAATTAAATTAACCATATTGTTGTAATAATACATACGACAGTAAGACTTGCCGTCCATATAAATAAGGAAACAAATAAATTGATTTATTTTGTTTGTTTTGAGAAAATTTTGATTTATATTTAATATTAGAATAATATGTGTTCAGATGTTTTGAAAAAAATATACTATCTTCATCCCGAAACTATAATCTTGACATAATTTTGGTTGTATTTGACACGGAATTTAAAGAATATTGATATTATATTGATAGTTGATAAAAAGTATAGATCAAAGAAATTTTTGCCATGTGTAAAATGCAGTGACAATTGTGTAATAATAATAAAAGAATAAGAGTAGTTATACAGTGGTATGATTATTTATGAAAATAAGACTATTGTTTTGGGACAGACAAAAATAGTAAACAAGACCATTTTATTCGGACGAAGAGACTATATTTTTTCGAAAAACACAAAGTCCAAATAATAAAAACCTAAAATTTTGAGACAAAAGAAACAAACCATCACAGATTGATTATACATAATATTCTAAATGAAAAATAATTACAGTACTCCCTCTGTCCTATAAAAATAATATTATTTTTTATTTTTGTCCATCCAAAATAAGAATACAATTTCTACTATCTACCTTAACATAATTAATATCCTTACAACTTCTAATATATTACACAAATGTCATTAATTTTACATCACACAATCTAATAGGGGCATTTTTGTCTTTTTTTTTTACTATAAACCAACGTAATACTAATATTCATAACGTAAGTGTTACTCTTCTGGGACGGGGGTAGTATTTTTTAAGAAAAAAAAAGTTTACCCAGTATGTCGCCTGCTCTAAATCGCTTGCCGTTAGGCCAGGAGGCAACATTGAATGTCCAGCCACGTGCGCCGCCCACTGTGTAGGTGGCAGCTTCGGCCGCCGGAAAATGGCCCGCCACTATCGCCGCCACCATCACCGCCGCTAATCCGAAAACTAGTGCACTGCCTCTTCCCTCACTCATTTTCACTACAACACTGAAATTAGCTACAAATGAAAGAAGAGTTTTTTTTTTTTTTTTTTTGTAATGAGTGAATGAAATGGTGGTGCTAAGTAAAAGAGCAAATATATAGACAAGAGGAAGTTGTCCTGTTGATTGTGGGTCCTGTGATGAGATGAGATGAGATGATCTTCCTGTCTTGTTAGAGACAGCACAATCTACTCATAAATATTCTTCACGTTTGTTTCGATTAATTTTTGGATAGAATGGAAGTTATGTGTTGTTGGATGAAATAACATAGAAAACAAATATTTATGCCGGCTTCCGATTAATATATATATATATAATCGATTTGATCGAATCAACATATATCATATACCTAACTAATAAATATTTATACAAAATACAACATATATGTTGTATTATAATATAATATATGTTGAATTAAATGTAATATATGTTACATAATAAGTGTACTGACATATATGTATAAATAATATGTACTAACTTGTATATATATATATATATATAGGTTGGGGATCCTGTGTTGATTCGGCCAAATCAACATGGTGCTGATTTAACTGGATCAACATATATCATACACATAACTAACATATATTTACACAAAATACAACATATGCTGAGTTATAATATAGTATATGCTGAATTATAATATAATATATGATATATTATAAGTGTACGGACGTATACGTATAAATATGTGCTAACTGGTATAGCATATGAATCAACACTATATTGACTTGACCGAATTAACAGTTGATCCATGCCCATAGATATATATATATATATATATATTTAAGACTTGACCGAATTATCAGTTGATCCATGCCCAAAGGTATATATATTTAAGACGACAAATAGAGTGAATTTTAATATACACAAATATATAGGATCAACTAACATTGGGTAATAGTTTACATAATATATGTCACAATGAACCTCAATACAAATACATGACATAACATTCACAATATAACTGACCAACACATAGTAATAATATTTATTAATTTCAATCGTGTGTTGAAGAAAAATATTTACTAGCACGCTAACCGCCCCACTATATATATCCACTGTATATTTTTGGATAGAAAGTCTGGGAGGCATTCCAAGTTGTGCAATAAATATTTAAGCCTAACACACCAACCCACCATCACTGCAATTTTCTTGCACCAAACTTGGACTTTGGGGAGAGATATTTTGGTTGGTATGATTATTTTATGGTTGAATTGGTCAGTCTTTAACTGCAAAGTGGACTCATAGTCAAATTAAATCCAGACAAAATCCATCACAAGTATTTTTTAAAATGGAAACCATAGTCATCCTTGTACAGTGAGTGTCTGTGTGTGTGTGATCAACTGATCATGTAAAACCTAAGAAAATGTGATTTCAAGAAATAGCAGGCTCTTTTCCTTTTAAGATTGTTTTACAAATTGCATAAAGGAAATTAGGAAGGAATAACACAAAACATACCATTTTTACACACATAAAAACACTCAAAATAATTAGATTCAAACAAAGCTTCTATAGCATGCATAAATCTCAATAATTATCTTTGTTGCATGCTTTGAAATCATCACTAACCAAATAAAACAAGTGTAACCAAATATCCATATGAATATATATATATATATATATGTGACAGTATTTTAAGCTGTGTACCGACACTCACTGAGTGAGAGGCGAGGGGGACCAAGGTAGAAAGCCGAGAGAGATGATCATCATTTTGCAGATATAATTTCTTCTTTAATTGTCTGTAAAGCCGTTGAAACACCATCCTGACATACATATATCAAAAGCAGACACAATAAGTCACAGCCTCCACCTACTTGTCCCTGATTTATGATGACTCTTGCTCAATTATTATACATGGGTTTGTTTGTGTTTTTCATCTGGTTTCCTCAATCCTCATATTATGCAATCTAGAGTAAAATATTTATTTCTCTAAAACAACTTAACATTCTAAGTATACTTTTCATTCAATGCAGATCCTAAATTTATTTTCCATTAAAAATAATAATATAATAATAATACCACGCACCAGAATTTATCAGCAAGTTTCATCTTTCCAACACTACAACTACAATCCTGGATTTCATCTAAGTTTCAATTTTTACTATCATATGTTCCTACCCCCTGACAGAGCTTCCAACTCGAACTTATCAACAAAACTAAAATCACAAGAAAGCTACGAGATGCTGTTTATACATTAATATCTAGTTACTAAGCATAGGTATTCATAGATTATCACCTTTAGCTAGATAGTGAAAAAAAGACACCAAGAACTGCATTGGTAGTCCAATTAATGAACGTTACCTCGAGAGATATTCTATCAGCAATTTTTCTTGCGTGCAGTTTAACTTCAGGAGACAATGCACCACTAATTGCCTGAACAAGTGCTTTTGCAGCTTTTAAGCTGGAGCTTTCATCATCTGTGCTAGGGAGCAAGCAAGAACTCTTCAGCGGCTCTGGGGCAACACCGAGCCAAAACATCCTCTCTGCCCAATAAAATTGATCTAAAATGAAGGGGCAGATAACCTGCCGTCACACATTAATTAGTTGCCCTTCTTGTTTGTCTTATGGAGAATCACAAACTCATGACACTTGCAAATTAACTAAATTTGAGGGTACGTCTTAAATCGCTTTCAACTATGATGCATGTTTGGTTGCAAATACAACATCTACATTGCGAGGTCTCCTTAAGCATGAACTGTATACAGTAATAAGTAAGCGGGAAAAATTTACATTAAGGGGTGAAAAAAGATCAACCAGGATCATTGAATTTTTCAAAGCCAGATGATAGTCATTTTACTTTCAGAAATATAAACAATTTTATTTCCTTAGATTCTATCCAGTTGTATACAAGATCCAGAAATCTAGGAAACATAAGTATTGTTCTTTTGTGTTTAATTATTTTATATTCAATCTATTTTTTTTCCCTAAAAGGACTTTAGATCGACCGTCATCTTCCATACAAAACATAGCATCTAACAACTATTACCTAATAATATAAAAACCAAAAAAGAAATGAAAACAACAAGCAGATAAACATCAAGTCATTACAAAACAAACCTGAGGGATTCCTGCATGCAGCGCAGCTGCGGTGGATCCACTGATATCAAGATAAGAAAAGCTTTAAAATATGCATCAAATTTGAAACAGAATAAAGGTTATCCAAGCATCTTCACCTTCCCCCATGATGAATGGCAGCAGCACATTTTGGAAATAGCCAGCTGTATGGTACATCACTAAAAGACAATAATAATAAAAATAAATTGAATCAGTTTGATGAATAAGCTTCACAGTGCAGAAAATATAAATTTATCTGCAGGCAGCTAACTTAGATCAAATAAGTTATAATATTTAGTCAATACATATTACATCTCACATACATCAATGCCTTCTACTAGTACTACTGCTACAAGTACTACTACTACTACTACTACCACTACTACTCCTAATAATAATAATAATCATAGTTCACAATCCTGAGAGCTGGACCCTTGATCTTGAATTGAAATTTAAATGCACTTTAATACTTATACCTTCTGTACCCACTCACCCAGAGAAGCAAAACAGTCTGCCATCAAATATGCAGGTTTGAACTTCATTATTGTGTGTCTGGTCAGAAACTGGTGATGGCTTCTGAGCAAACTTTTTGATAGCATCATCTAAAGATCCATAACCAGCAGAGAAGAGAACAAATCGATGATTTGTGATACTCAAAGCATTTCCAAGCATCCGAAGGAAAGCCTCAGGATTCCTTAAGTAACCCATGCTGCAGACATGGAACTAAACCAGAATCAGAAAACACATCAAAATCAAGTCTACGTAAAACTAACAAAGTAGAAAACCCAGATGTACATTCATCATTTTAATACATGTTATAAGCTGGAGATAGTATATCCACAAGCACCTGCATTGGATTGAATTTTCAATGCCTACCCATGAATGACAAATGTAATGAAATTACTAAACATGATACATAACTTGCCCCTATCACAGGAATTAGGGACATGAACCTAAATTCAAATTTGTTTTTATGTGAATCATCACAAATTTATTTTAATTTAATAGTTGAAAAAAAAAAAAAAAAAAAAAAGATGAACAGAAAGTTTCATTAAAATACTTCTCTGAAGTATAGCACCATAAAGTACAGCTTATAGATGGACTCACCTACCAACAGAACTCAAACTTATGAATATAGGTGGATCCTCTGAAGAATCTAAAAAGCTTTTTAGTGGCGCATGAATTGAACACAACTCATCTTGGGGGTTCAATTTCCTGGAAATATTCAAAGCTGAAAGTTCTGCACAATCGAGACACGAGAATTGCCATTCGAATGGGAGAAACAAGAAACCACAAACTCGAACAGCTGAAGGCCAGTAACCTACAAATATGAGTGAGATGCATGAAGTGAGGAGAATAATAAAATTTAAGTAGTCTAATTACTAAACATTAACACTTTATAAGCTATAAAGGTTCGATTGACGGATACATGCAATCAACATATAATTCATAACTAAAAGAGCTGCATTTATTGTGTCACAATTCTTGTGGCGGGTTCACACACAAAACCAAGAGGCAAACAGACAAGGATTTTTTCCAACTCAATTCATCTTTAAATTTCAAAAATAAATATTCTAGTTGTAAAAGTTGAGGAAATACTAAAAATCAAGGCACTCCTGGGATGACAAGAATAACTCTAGTGTGGTATCACATTCTTGTAACCAATTTGCCAGTTAGAACAGACATTCCCAGGGAACATTTACTTTAATTAAAGAAACACATAAGATTGCATTGCCATCAGCATAGGTCATGCCTGTGCCAAAAATTAAATTTAGCATATAAACTATCTAGTATCTACTTCAAATGGCAATGAAATTATGCAGCTCCATGGTCTTACTCAAAACAGAGTTTCAGCTTTATTTTTGCCAATACAATCACCAATACAGATCTATATTTAAACAATTTTAGTGAAAAGGGAATATAGTTGCACTGAAAAGATAGACAGAGGAAAGAGATACCCAAGGAAAACAAAGAATCATCTTATTAAGTGAATAAAAATGCAAACTTGATCATGATATTACCAGGACACTCAACAACCTCTTGGCTAAAACCATACCTGTTCAAGCATACAAGTAAAAGGTCAAAAAGCCATAAAAAGATCCACATCTAGGTCAAATATTTAACAGTATTAACAAAGGTCACAACAAAGTTATCATATATAAGAATTAATTCAAGTATCAGCTACACCTGTTAGTAAACAGAAACATGAATCAATGAATTCTACTTATCCTGTGATGTATCCACAAAGTTCAATAATCACATTTGCTAACTCGGTAAATGAAGTTCTTCCAGCAAATATTCAAGAAAGACAAAATGCTGAGTAAATGATGTCGGGTGGAATGGGGTGTTTGCATCAATACATTTAAATTTTAGTAATATGCCTAGCAATCTTACAGTAGCAAAGGAGACAAAGGTCTATCATGCCATGTTGGAAGACCAGTTACAGGATCCTGCTTTAGAACCACAAAGAAATAATTGTAGCAATCAAATTATATTCCATCTATTAACAAACAATAGCACAAGGGTTCCAGTAACAACCGTAAAAGGCAAGAAGCTCAGGTTCAGATCAAGACTTCTCCATGATCCCCACTCCTCAGAGAAAAGTGGCCACATCCAATGGATAACATCTTCCCACCCGATCTACTATAGATATACCCATAAAACTATAAACAATCACCTTCCTTCATTCCCAAGTACATCCCCCAAAATATAGAACCAGCAATGAAGATAATTTGGACAAGAGCTGGTAATGCAGATTCAACAATCTATTGACTATAAAACTATATGATTATGGAGTTACAATAATGAAAATAAATGGAAGATGTGATTATAAGTATAATGGAAAGTAAGTTCTATGATGACTACAAACATAAAAAATAATAATAAATAAATAAATATGTATAATGGAAAGTAGAGAATGATAAATCCAAGTCACAAATATATTGTAGAACAAGTTCATATAACAGAAAGAAGTTTAACAGCACACCTTCCCAGTTGGGCCTTCTTGAAGATATTTGTATAAAAGAGGAAATTGCGCCCTAAACTGACGTTCGAAAGAAGAGGGGGCACTGCATTAAATTAACACCTCAAAGAACGTTTAGTACTGAAATGCTTTCGTAGCAAAACAAAAAGTAATACAGAGCTTGGGGTGGGATCCTACATAAACATAATACAAACCATATATTAAGTTAAGAAGAAAAAGACATTGTAATCATGATATATGTTTATCCTATAGTATGGATGAGGTATGAAGTATGCATCTCTTTCTGTGCCATTGGAGAAATGATGGCGGAGGAATGCAAGCAAGTAGAACAGAAAATGAGAAAAAAAATGTTTAGGCAATATCCAATCATGCACAACTATGATATGGTTTTAGATTCACATCTATCATATCTGTAGCTTAGATAGATATGATTCATATCTATATGTATATCTATATTCATAATTATATCTATATCTATATCTATGTATACTTCCCTTTCCTTTTCTTTTGGAATGAAATAAAATGTTTTCCCCCTATTTTTTTACAGACATTAATTCAGTAAAAAGATACTGATCAGTCAATTGCTTCCAGAGCTTGAAAATTCCAAATACACCATTTTCAATTACCTATTCATACATTCTTCCAAATCCAACTTCCATTTCTCAATAACTTCGACAACAGCACAAATTTGAAGTTTGAACTTATATGTAAGTAAGTAACCAAGTATGTAGAAGACATGCCTGTATGGTACAACATAAGGAGCAGCAACAATGCAATGAACATGAAAAAGTTCGGCAAGGCTCCAACCTTCCTGAAAATAAGAAAACAGAAACTGATTTTGAGAACTCTTAGCTGAGCTTTACTGTCTAGCTATTGACACTATCTTCTGAACAATAATTCTTCTCATCAGTTGAAATATTCTAGTATTTAAATAATATATTATTAGGACCTGAATTATCGAATAAAGAAAATGAATAAGAAAAAGTGATTTGAGTTTTCTAAAATGATAAATGAGTAACAATACAAGAAATTATTTCAAGAACTTACCAGTGCAAAGAAATTTATGACTATTAGATCACCATCCATGATCGATCCCTCACCATATACCCTCTCAACAATGGAAAAACATTCTTGCCTGTGTCTTCTTGTGATCTCTTTTTTCTGGAGGGAAAAGGCCCCCTCCGCAGATTCTGACAATGCAGACAACCAGATGATTATGTGAAAAAAGTAACAAAATTAGAACTTCTGGAAATAGATCTCTAGATCTATAGACTAGAAGAGAGTCCAGCTACAGCCTAAGAGAAATATCTAATTGAAGGGGGAGCATTTTTCTTATACTCCATGTAACAGGTGTAGATGAGTATGAAAATACTTGCAAAACTTCCACCTTTGTCATCCTGATGAGAAGACAGAACAGGAGGTGAAGATACTGGAAAATATGCAACTCCTTTTGCTCCCAAATGGCTTTTCAGGTTCTGTGAAGCAAAAACAAAAACAGATTAGTAATTAGTAGTAGAGATTCCATGGCGCAGACTCTAACAACCTCGTGCGCTGAATGAGTAACAAATGCAACTTCGTACTGCTTCTGATCGGAAGCGAACGCCGCAGCTATGGCCTGCCGGAGAAAACAACGATTACCAACCAAAACATCAAAGCAACCATTACATTCACTCGAATATATATATATATATAAGCTCACAGCTATAGGATAAACGTCGCCTTTAGTGCCAAAAGCCATGAACAGCGCGATTGGCTTTGTCCTCATCGCTTCCGCCTCCTCACACTCACAGCGCTTCGTCGCCCTCGGCCGACGGCGAGTCCAAAGGTTCCTGTAAAAGTTCGCCGGGTAAACCTAATTTGGGCCGAAAATTAAACATACGGCCCGTTATGTATTCAGCTGCAAATAAAAAGTATGCTTTATTGGAGTAAATGCCTTCCAAGTAAAAAAAATCCCCCACCGCCGTGACAATCTACACTATCGGTTTTCCTGGGTGCCGTTGACGGATCTTCGACCGGTGAAAGCTTTTCCTCAGTGTTAGCCTCACAACCTCGTCGGCGGCAGACAGCGGGAGTGTGATCAATTGTGCTTTGTCCCAAGTTGCTTCTAGGAAATTATCGAAATGTTCGCTCAGTTCACCGATTGAGGCCTCAGAATCGATTCGCTCACCGTTGCGTATTTTTCTGTTCCACTTCTAATAATAATAACAATCTGATTTCAGTTCATCGCTTCAATTTGAGCTCCGCCGGTGATGTTTCTCCGTCGATTTGTGTCCACACTCGAGCCAGTCCCAAAAATTAGGTCTTTCAGCAGCTATAGCAGCCATGATTTTGCATCCGAAATTGCTGAGTTGAATCAGGTAGCATTTTACACTTCCTCTATCTCTTTTGATATTGAGATATTGTTGTTGCAACAATTTATCTGCTCTGAAAATTTGAAAACACCATTGATATTGCATCTGACTTATGTCTCCTTTCCATCCTGCTAATTGTATTGAATCAAAATAGCTATTGATTAACCATGCTCAAAAAATAACAAGATCACTTCATAAAACCCCGATGGAAACAATCATAGAATGAATAGATTCAATGGTGGCATTATGATTCAAGTTGGAGCAGTGATTCCAACTAAAGGTTTTGCATTTATGGTTCAAGTGTGTCTTTTAAGCCCTGTTGGATGTTCTACACTGGTTTGCATTCAATCATCTGTCATAGGAAATGGAATCCGTGTTCGGCGAGCCTCCATCATCGAGCTTCCCGGCCGGCTCCGGTGGCCAGAAGATATCCCCCGAATCACATCCCACAACAAGCAAAACGCCGCAGAATGAATCGAATCCCGGCTTGACTCATGTAGACAACAAAGGTGAATCTCAGATGGTCGATATAACCTCAAAAGGGATCACGAATCGAGTGGCGATCGCAAGCTGCAAAGTCCTCTTAGGACGAAGGGTGTTTGAACTGGTTTCGGCGAATCAAATGGAGAAAGGTGATGTTCTTGGAGTCGCGAAGATTGCCGGGATCATGGGCGCGAAGCAAACGAGCAATCTTATCCCGCTTTGCCATGGCTTGAATTTATCTCATGTGCAGGTGGACTTAACGTTGAATGCTTGTGATTTGAGTGTTGACATTGTAGGGAAGGCTACGTGCAGCGGGAAGACGGGGGTGGAGATGGAGGCTTTGAGTGCAGTGGCAGTGGCGGGGCTTACTGTTTATGATATGTGCAAGGCTGCTTCGAAGAACATTGTTGTGACGGATTTAAGGCTTGAGCATAAAAGTGGAGGTAAGAGTGGGGAATGGTCGAGTAAGAAGCCATGAAAATTAATTTTGTAGGGTTTTGAAGTTTTTGGTAATTTTGTTGTTGGTTAGGAGTATTGTTTGTTGGGGTAAAGATAATTTTCAATGTTTTTAAAGGGTGTATTTTTTTGGATATCTTTACTTATTATTTTAATTGTGTTTTGGTAAAAATAAAAACTAAAAAGGATTATGATTTTGCTTGTTTTGAGATTCGATGGATGTATTCGGGTCGATTTTTTAAAATATTTTTACTGGTCATTTAATTTTTTTTCAAAAGTATCGATCAAGCAATTATTTACAAATCAAACAACTATTTACAAGTACACCTTATGGCTCTGTTTAGCTTAAAAGGGGTGCTTGATTCATATATAATAATTTTATAATTATTATATATTTTGGTCAGGACAGAATTTGATAGAGAAGAAAGATAAAATAATTTTATAATTATGCCCTCAAGGGACAGAAATTAATATTTTGGTCAGGACAGAATTTGATAGAGATATTTTGGTAAAGAATCTGCTGACCAATAGAATTGACATTCGAATATATAAATAACAAAAAACAATTCAACTATTCAACCCTAAATCCAACTATTAAGATTTCTCTTACAAGACTAGTGTGTTCTTTTATAGGATTTTGTCACAATTTTACTATTTATTAAATTTTTTTTAAAAAAATATCAGAACACATCTATTCATGCCACAATTTCAATTGAAAATTTTTAAAATTAAATAAGATTCCTTGCCATTTCACAAGAACTACAAGCAAGCACTCAAATCTTTTCATGATGCATATTATAAGCAACTAAGCAAAAATTAGTATTACAGTCTTACATAATAGAGAGAAATGTGGTGATGTGATTTCATGAAGATTCGATGTCAGAATCTTCCAAACCCTCTTTATAAACTTCAAAATCATCCGAGCCCCATCGACAAATTAAGTGTAGTTTGAAGGTTGCCATCTTCATACCCATTAGGCGCTGCAGGAGATGCGAAACCACAAAAACAGAAGTTACATAATACGTTCGAAAATGAATCGTAGTCATTATTTATATTCCTCGGGAAATTCAGAGATACAGAAATATATACAAACCAGTATGCGAGACGCCTCCGGCGATAGTGGTTTTCCTTCCTCGCATACAACAAAGTCGCCAACGAGCTCCACCACACCTACACAAAGCATTGTAAATGTGTAAAACACATGGAAAGCCGTGGAATGCTGACAATTATGGCAGTATGAAAATTAAACACATAAAACACCTTTGTTTAGCCGAACGGGCATTCCCTGTTTGCGCAAGAATGGCTCCATCTCATGGGTGAACTGATCTAGAGGTCCTTCTTTAAGCTCTACCTGAAGAATGAAGAACACGTCAAAAATATCGATCACAAGCACAACCTACAATAATCTGTTTAAGATCCACTTTTATGGCTAGAAACAACTTAGAACATTAGATCGTCACATCATTAGCCTTTGACATTTAAGGTTGTCGTTTCAGTAATTGCAAAAGAAAAAAAAAATTGAGATATATAAAGAAGCTAATCTGGAAGATTTTTTTGCACACCGTCTCTGTTGCCATACTTCCAGTCCTAGCAAAATCATAATCTTCGTATTCATCAAATATTCTGCCAGAATAAAGAAAGGGGTTAGGCACACAGATTCATCTATATTGTCAGCAGTCACAATTGATGCTTTTGTCTTGGGGATTTAAAATACCAAGATAATCACTACATAAATGTTTTCCTCTCACCTAAGATCAGATCAGTAAAATAGGAAATTTCATTAACTACCAGGACAATCAAAACTAGGTGGCACTATAAATTTATAGTCAATAAGAAACAGTTTCTAGCTGGCGACTTCATGCGATACAGTTAAAGGCATACCTTTTAACTTCTTCTTTTGGCACATTGGTGAAACAAAGTCCGGAATCCCCACGAAGAAGCTGGATGAAAATAATTGACAAGTGAGGAAATAACTTGATTGTAGTATGAAATATATTACCCATGAGCATATAGCCATTGCATAATAGGGAAGGTTAAATAACAGCTGCAAGTACTAATTAACATGAAACAATAATCTTGAAAACCCCGTCTTACCTTCGAAATCTTGTGAAGCCCTGGTCTGATCTCATCAGCAACCGATCTACCCAAAGCAACTTGCATAACTTTGTTAGAACCTAGAAAAAATCTGGAACAGGAAGTATAGATGAATTATTTAATTGAATCTAAAAAAACAAAGTAATTACTAAAGCAAAACAATTAAAAAAGGGAAATCAACAAATTAATAAATCAAAGGAAAGGGGCAATGCCAAGCATTGGATTGTACTGACTTACACATTGTGAGAGGATACGTAACACTATATAATTACAGGGAAAACGGCAAGGGCTCATATTAAAAATTCTTTAGCTAGACTAATTAGTTTCAGTGAAACATAGTACTAATTACTAAAAGTTTGTCAGAAAGTAATAACTTGAAACTCCACCCTTAAAAATAAGCCTCTGTAAATTCCACTTAACAGCCTCCCCAAATTTAAGTCTCAACAAATAAAGCTTTGAAAAGAGTAGCAGAACACACGTAGTGTGCAAAACAAATAATTGATTCAAAAAGCCATAACAAGCACAATCTGAGATCCCATGAGACGAATGATTGAGAATAAATCACATATTTCAGGTCATTGCCATTGCCATGGCCAGGCTCGGAAATGTTCGTTCAAACAAAAAAAAAAATCCAATAAAAAACTATCTGCTCAACCTGCTTGAAGACTTGAGCCGCTCTCTGAATTCCTTGAACTTGAGATTCCTCATGTTCTCGAAAGAGAAGACGTAAACTGATTCGTACTTTTCCACCGCATCCCGTATTGAATTCACCACGTTTTCCTTGTGCTCTCTTCCTTTCTTTTTTGTCTTCGATAGAGTTACTGAATAACCCAAAAAGCAACGAACAGCAAAATCAAATACGGAAAACAATTATCAATCAGGAGCACATAACCACTTAAAAAATAAGAATTAAACACCTACAATCAAATTTCACATAAACCAATAAACAGTCGACAAACCTGGCCTGTTACGCTTAGATTTCGGCATATTTACCGACAAACTTTAGCGTCACACCGGCACGGAGACGAGCGGAGATGTCGTGAATGATGTAGCGGTGAAGGTATTAGGGTTTTTTTTAAACCCTAATTGAAGCCTTGTCGTTTCTCCTCTTACAGTATTTATTTGACGTAACATTTATTGGGCCTTCGGCCCAGAAACGGGACCAACTTATCTTCCTCACCGAGCCCAAACTACGCATATAGTTATGATTCTCTTGCAGCAGGATATTAATTTGAATTTTTATGTAATTTATAAAGAAAAAAATAATAATTTTGGTATCAATATAATTAAAATTTATAAATTTAGATTTTAATATAAAAATTTCATTAATATTAATTCAGCTATAAACAATTTCAATCAAATATTTGATCTGATTTGTGGGTATCGTAAAAACCATCTTAATTGTCCAATAGCAATCGGAAGTAAAAAGAGACTTGGTAAAAATATGTGACATGATTTGTGGAGGAGACCTAAACGAGATGATAACACCACATACAACACAGTTGTCGAATGAAGTAACAATTAAGCACAAAATGTTTGGTGTGCTCATCAAATATATAATTGTGGACATCTTTTATAGCAGTCTGACTGTCCTAAATGACTATGTAACACTAAGATCATCGAGTAATCGGCGAAGCCATAAAAGTTTTGACGTAGAGTCAGCAATGGCACGACGTGGACATAAAATGATTAACGTAGCAGTTGATTTGAAACCTAAACGAATTATACATGACCATATTGTCACAATCTTATTCAGTGTACACAGTTTTCACACGACCATATTAATTTTATATTGTCTAAAATTTTATTTTTTTGTGTTATATATTTTTTAAAATATTTTAATTTAAAATAGTTAAGATATTTAAAAAAAAAAAAAAATCAACACTAATCTGACATGGTGTGTTCTTAAAAAAAATATATATATATAAAAATAACACATTTATTTTTTTAAAAAATATGAACATATTATACATATTCATTCCTTTTATGCTAGTATTTTTATTTTTATTTTTTCTAATTCTCTATACATTATTTCAAAAAGTTCCACTAAAAATTTATATCAAAAAACAAACACACAATCTCAAGTCTCTACCATAAATGCAGATAAATTATTAGGAGCGGTTTCAAAAAAGTGCCTGCTACCCGGTTCGGTCTGTAACTCGGTATTCCAAAAATCATACAGCGGCCCTTTTCCCGCCCACTTCAAATCACACCCTTCTCTTCTCAGTCACGTATCTCCTATTCCGACGGCCTTCTTCTCCCGCCGTCGCCGCCGCAATGGAGGGAGAATTCGACATGGATGTCACTCTTCTCTCCAAAATCCAATCATCCGTCCAACTCACCGGAGTTCACCGCCTTTTCGTCGCTCACCTCGACGCTTTCACCCCTTTATTGAAACCCTCCGCCACCGGTGCTGCCAAAAAGCCGGGGAGATCGTCAAAGAGTAAACCTCCAAACGACGTTCCTTCCGTCCGTTCCCTGGCGAAGCAATATTTGTCGTTCATACACAAGTCACTCTCAATTCTGCCCAAACGGCTTAGCGAATCCCCGAAAATTGCTCTTGACTGTGCGCTGGAGTTGTTTCCTATTTATCGACTGTGCTTGGACTGCCTTGATGTGATAGCACCGGAGCTCGCCGGAAAACCTTTCTCAGTTCAGATACAGAGGATTCGGTACATGCATTGTTTGGAGTACTGGGAGTTGTTCAAAGAGGCGGAAGCGGAAGGTTATTTTGTGCTCGAGAGCTTGAATGTGATACTTGGAGGGGGATTAAAGGGGAATTCGAGAAAATCAAAGGCTCGATTGGTTCCTAAGTTAAATGAGGGCAATGTTGATCGTGACGCTGCGCCTGTAATTTTGGAAGTCGTTGTTACTTTAGTAAAATGCACTTCCAAGAGGATGAGTAAATCAGCTGACGATTACCGGAGAGTCATGTCTCTCGTGACTGAATCCGAATCATGGTTCAAGTATGATTGTATGCACTGATTTGAGCTCATGTATAATGTATGTTGAAGTTTTGCTTGGATGAAATGTGCATACATTCCTATTAAAACTGAATTTCGAAGTTACCTCTCAAATAATTGCATTTAGATTACTGATTATGAAGCTGATTGGGTTGATGCTATACAGGATATTGGATGCAAAGGACTATGATAAATTCCACAAGTTTTTGGAGACAAATTTGCATATAATTACTATATTTTTGGTAGCTGAGATAAAGTCTTTCAGCATGGATTTGATACGTGAGTTCTCCATGATCACATTGAAGGAGTACCAAAAATCTTCTGCTCACGATCAAATGTACAAGGTGTAGGACCATCTCGAAGCTTCACTTTAGTTTGCTTCTTAATGCATAATTGATGTTCTATCATAGTTACTGTAATTGTACTTTTGTTCTTTATCTTGTTCACAGGTTGCACTCAAAATGTGTTCTTCTTTGTTCTCCCAGAGAGATGAGCTGCCCAGCAATACCATTCTTGATGTGTTAATACATGTGTTGGATATCATGTCTGCTGAATGCAAGGTAACTCAGCTAGATAAGGGTGCCTAGCTTTTATAACTACTAAGATTGGTTTAATCCTTGCAGTTGAGATCAGCTAACACAACTAACTGGTGCTATGAAACTATTCCATGAAGAGCTTGTTATATTGCTATGAAACTATTCCATGAAGAGCTTGTTATATAATTATATATGCTACTGAGTTTAGTATATAAGGGTTTCACTCATATCTAAATTAGCATCTTATAAGCAGTTTCAGTACTATTCTGATGAATTTGATATTCTTATTCAAAGGAACTTTCTCACATCTTTTTCCCTAAACTAGTAGTAACTTATTTACCTTCAGTGCTGTATGTGATGTTTCTAACTACATTTTATGGATCATTATTGGTGGAACACTAGAACTATTGGGTGGGTTGTGAACTATGCTCAATCAAAGTATACTTTATACACTTTTTTAGAGAAAACACCTTTACTTCTAGCTGAATTGAAAGAGCTACTTACCCGCTGTTTTAACATCCCTTACTGTTTCTTCAATCTTTAATATTGTTTTGTCATCACTTTATCTTCACATACCATGTCAATGAGAGAGGTAAAACTTCTTAAATGTAACCAATCTTTACTTCCCAATCTTTAACTGCAACAAAGAAAAGTCATTTTATAGCAACATCTAGCAGTACTTCAAACATCTCTTGTGATCATAAAAGTGTTATGGTCAATGTCGTATCTAACCATGCCTTAGTTTTACTTGGCAGGTTGGAGAGGATAAAGTAAATTTGGGATTTATGGAACTTGTGTGCTATTGTGCAAATAAATGCCACAATACAAATATTTTATGTTTTCCAGTTGCTGAACATTTGTATAAATTAGCTGGTGCTTTTCATGAGGTATTTTTTCTTCCCCCAGTTTGTAGCTGTGGTTCTAATAAATATACTTATGCTGAAATCTTAGTTATATTGTGCGATGTTGATAAGATTAATATCATTTTTGTAAAGGATTTTCAAGTTATGAGCTCTATTTTGAGGCTATACGTGACTGGCTTGTTGTCAAGTTCGTCATGCAATCAATTGAAAGTGAAAGACAAAGAAAAATGTAGAAATGCTCCGTTTGGATCTGAGTCCAAGGTTTTGCTTGATGACAAAGTGCATCTCCAACAAGTGGCTGCTTCTATTAATTTACTAAATGGCCAAATTGATATTGGTAGCAAGGAAAAGAAGTCCTATAAAAGAGGCAGTTCCCTTTCACTTTCGTACTGGGAAGCTCTTAAATTTTTGTGTGAATCGCTAGCTGAATCCATATACTCTAATAGGAAAGAGTTTTTTTCAGAGGCAGAGAGGACTTCCTACTGGGATGATCTAGGTATCATCTACAATGTGTTTGATCAGTTCTCCAATATATTTCTTCATTGTCTAAGGTACACTTTTCTTGTAATCATAAGTGTGAACTTATCCGTTTGAATAATTCAAAGTACACATAGGTTCTTTGTATCATGTGAGTTTTAATTTATTTATTCTTGAGTTCTAAGATAAAGAGTACATTTTGATGAGCTACATTCTGTATTTATGCAGTGCATCTGAGAGGGAGAAAGAAACATCTGGAGAAAATCACAGAGTGATATCTGTTGTTGTTGTGGCTGTTCTTATGATCTCATTCAAAACAAGCCAAAAAATTAAGGTTCTCAGTTCATTAATATATTACACTGGATATTTATATGATTGAATGTATCATTGTTTCTTTGTGTCTAAAAATCCAGTCTTCTTATTGCCTGATATTATTGCAGGAAAGTACCCTATTGGTGAAGCAACTTATATCAGCTGAGTGGGTTCCTGTTAAGCGACTGAAGTATTTATATGTTTCTCTTAACAATGTAGCTGTGATATTAAATAGGAAAAAACGGCTGAAAGAGGTAGTGACATCTGGATTTTATTTTATTTTTATTATTATTTTTTTCTGTCAATTTCTTCAATTACCATTTCCAATCTTCCAAGTTTGCTTCTTTATTTGTTTCATCTAAGTTAAATGTTTTCAAAATGCCTGGCTTACAGTATGTCTGTATGAGATGAAAAATTTCCAACTTCTGTGCTTATAAGATATTGTGGGGCATCACTTTAAGCCTATTGACTTCATTATCTTTTCTATGCATTGTCTGCAGTCACTGTAACGGTGTCTTAATTTGATTTTCCTAGTTAGAATGTGGAGTTCTTGGAGCTGGTGTATCCATCCTCTTTTGGTTCATGGATTTCTTATATCCCCAAGATTGAACATTAGTTTCATTGACTTTTGCGGTAATTATGATGAAGCGGCTATGCTCCCAAAATCTTGTTTCTTGACTTTAGCATGCCATAGCAGAGTGAATAATGTTGGCCAATTGATCATCATAGTGTTATGCTGATGGTGCTAATGGAGAAACCACACATATTAGCTTTCAACGCTTTATTTTCTGGCCACACTATTCAATGAGTACTGGAACATATCTTGCCCAGTATTTGACAATATCAGGGAATAATGATAGTACACTTTGACTGCAAGCTGCTTTCCTGTGATAAGCTTCATTATTTACATAAACCATTGCCTTGTGTAGTTGCTTTACACCCTGCACACAGGCATTGTGCTCGCCTTCCTGGTTATGCTTCACATTGGTTCAACTGTTAGTTATATAATGCAGTTTACACATATGTAATAGGTTTGGCTAATGTTTGTGTTGTTGTATGCAGGCTACAAAAGCTTTAAATTTGTGCTGTAGAGCCTCCTGGAATTATGTGGCAAATATTTGTAGAATGCATACTGACAAACATGTTTCTAATGATGATACATCAGAAAAGGCCATCAAAGATTTTGTAATGGAGGCATCTGAAAAGATTGTTTTTCTTGTGGAACTTAGTCGAGAATGCAATTGCAAGTTAAATGGAATCATTAAAGAGAGCCTTAAATGCTGGTTAGTTGCCGAAGATTTGATTGCTACAATACCAGTTCCTACATCTTTAGTAAAAGAGTGGGTAAAGGTACAAGTTAAATATTTCAGTCTCAGTCTTAGCCTTTTTTTTGGGGTCATAACAATCTAAGATTGACCTGATTTTCAGATGCAATTTTCACTCTCAATGGATGCTAACAGAGAGCATGGTATACTGATCTATACGTTATTACCATCCTCTAAAGAATTGTCTAGAAGGGCGCACGCAAAGATATTGGAAGAGGTCTCTCATTTACTTCCATCTATCTTACCCACATGCTTGTTCATTGAATATCTGATGTAACTACTGGGTTGCTCCCTTTGCTGCATCTAATGCTTGGACTTTATCAGGAGCTTCGTGCCTATGATGAAAAGTGCTACCTGAATCCTAGCTATTCTTTCAGAATGCAAATGGAAATCATTGATATCCTTTTAAAAGAGTGCTATGCTATGAAAGACGGCAGTGTTAACATATCCAGGATTCTCATTGAGAAGGGGAAGGTACTTAGAGCTCATGGAGTAACACAATTGAAGGAGTGCATTCAGTGTCTATCAGATGCTATATCAGCACTGGTAAGCTATGTGCTACTTAAAATTGTTGTTCTAAAATTTTTCTTGACATAATCTTCTTTGTGAAAAAACAGAAGTCAATCTACTGTACAAAAAAAGGCTGCAATTCTCAGGTTCATCATCTTCTCATACAAGCTTATATTCTGCGTGCACTTTGTACCCATGAAGCAGCACCAAACTCAGTGGTCTTATCGCCTCGAAGGTTATTCTTCTACTTCACAAATACATCCCAAAAATGATCAATGATAATATGCCAATTGATTTTTTCATGTTGATGGTTACCTCACTTTCTTTTGACAGCAACCTTCTTGATGATGTTGATGCTGCATTGAAGATCCTCCTGAGCCAAGATCATGACCATGCAAATGGACTGTACCATGACATGCTGTATTTGTGGTACCAAGTCATTGATTTATTATCAATCAAGGTATGAGTTCCTTTTGTATGCTTGCACAGTCATGCAGATGAACTTTTTGCATGTTTGCTGCATTGCAACTTACACCTTTCTTTTCCAGGGCTATTTAGAACTTCACCCCAGCTTATATGATGCTGTGATCAAGCTACATAAAGAGAAGAACTTACCCTTGACCAAGATAATATCTGAGCTCTGGAAAAGCAGAAGGCTTAGTCATGCTCTCTGTGCTTCACCTGTAAATGATATGTTCAGCAGAACCTTTTCTAAGTACCAGAACCAACTTTTTAACTCTTCTGGATTTTGGAAAATGTGCAAGGAGGAGCTGAAGCCCCTTGTAGTTGTGTTCCATCACACAAATGATGAACTTAAGCAAGTGGCTTCTGGTTTGACTTCTCATGTATGTTCTTCTACTAATTAATGAGTTTTCAAATATATTTTTAATTGACAATCTACATTTTAACTCATCTAATATCTTTTGGTAGGTTCCAAAAGCCAGTCATTCCATTTTTCTTTCAGCAAATATCCACCATGAATTGTCTGAAAGACTGATATCATGTGGACAAATGACCGAGGTAACTTGCTTTTAGATGATGCTTTCACTAATTTTGTTCAGTGCTTACTTGCACCTTCGAATATTACCATTACAGCATCATCTGCTTGGTCTTTGACTGTTTTCAGAGTACAAGTTTCTTGAAGATTAAGATTATATAGTGTGGGCACATGTTACCTCCTGAAATGCTTGGAAAATCAATTGCCATTTCTTTTAGCCTTCCAAAATGATGGAAAATGTGAAATAAGTAATATTCTCCAAAGATAATCTTTCAAAGGGACATTGTAGTTGATAATATTGTTGATGAAATTAGTCTCTCTCTCTCTCTCTCTCTCTCTCTCTCTCTCTCTCTCTCTCACTCACTCTCTCTCACACTCGCTCTTGTGATTAACTAACCTGCATAATTCAGTTTTATCCTCTGTTTCCATAGTTTTTTGTTTGTTTTCTGTTTCCCATGAATTATAGCTTCTACTTGTAATTAACTAAATTATTGTTAGCTCTACTGACAGATATTACTTAGCTTTATGTTGGCACATAGTGGATACTTTGAGCATACACTAGGTGCTGAACTCGAACCAATAAGTTTTCAAAAATCGACCATACCATGTCATTGAAGTTTTATGTGGCTTATGTATTTGTGATCCAAGTGAGATGGTTGCTGTTGCTATTTACTTATCTTAAGTTATATCTGTTATTTAAAGTATTCTGATGTGCTAAATCGTGCTTGTTCAACAAAGAAATTTTATTCTGAACAGCTGTCAATATATCTTTTTAGGCTCTCACGCATGCAAAAGAGGCTCTTCGCCTGCGTAGTAAACTGTTACGACAAAATTTTGAGTATTCTGTGGAGAAAATAGCTGAAACATTTGAGGAAGATGGAAAGACCATTGAAAAGAGTTGCTACAGTGTTCAATCCTTTAAAGTTAATAATATCGAGGCAACAAAAGGTTCTCGATGTTCTGAAGATTCTGTTGAGACTCCTTGGAATGTGCTTAACTGTTACCTTGAAAGCATATTACAGGTTTTGATGGAAACATCCTATTTGAAGCCCTTCTTTAAAATGATTATATACACTGTAATCTATGCTAAATATCAACTGCTCTTCTAGGTTGGATTTGTTCAAGAAATTCTTGGAGACGTGTCTGAGGCTGAAATGCTTTTACGCTGGGGTAGAAATGTTTCCCAGTTTCAAGCTTTGCCACTTTTCGAAATCGCTTTTTCTTCTATGTTGGGTATGTCCTTTAATGTGTCATCCTATCCATTCACATATGGTGATGATAGTTATACATAGTTAGAAAGTCACTTATTATGTGCCATTTTATGCCATCAGGAAAACTATGCCGTAAGCAAAAACTTTGGGGCATGGCTGAAGAGGAATTGTTCAGTGCTAAGAGAATCCTAGCTGTTAATAATGACATCATTTCCTGTAAAAGATGTTCATGCATATTGGAAATTTCAATAAATCAGCAACTTGGAGATTTGTTTTTGAGCTGGTCTTGCAGTACTGAAGAGTTGCCTTCTGCAAAGAGGCTGCTTGATGCCCAGAATTCCTACAAATCAGCATTAGTCAAGCTAAATCTCTCCGAGCATGGTATTTCCTACTGTACTAATGATGGAAACAGGTCTGAGCAGGCAGCATGCAATGAGAGTTTCCCAATTAGCTGTGCCCTCAATCATGCTGAAGTTAGTGATTCTCTTCCCTGTGCTATATCTGAAACTAAGATTCAACCAAGAAGATCTAGGAGGACAAAGAAGGAAGTGAAAACTGCTTCAGAGAGTCAGGGCTTGACTTCTGGTAGTCGTAGGATAACCAGGTCTAGTCGTTGCTCTTTAGAGTCAACCCATAAGATTGTGCCAGGTGACAGACAAGTTGACTCTGGTGCTTGTTTAGCCACTGCGCATATGTCTACCGCCACTGCTGGCTTTGATCATAATGTTTCCAATTCTGGTTCTAAATACCCTGCAGCTGAATTTCAACAAAATGTCAAATCTCTTTGCAGCAAACTGAAATGTTTTCACTGCCTTCACATTGAAGCTGCTGATTGCAACAGCATAAGTAACTTAATATGCATGAACTGGGGGTTTGTTTACAGACGGGTTTCCTTAAGACTACTTCTCAGCATAGGTACGGTCTACTCTGACAATCTCGCTGAAATAATTTTCTATACGTAAAATTTGTAGCTTGCTTAAACATTCGGTGATTTATCTACTCCCCAACCCCCCCACCCACGCACACACAAACCAAAGTTGGATCTAATTGCTGTCATAAACTTGTTTAAAACTCCGTGCTTTATAGAATGTATCTACCTCATGATCTTGTCATCCGTTGAGCAATTGAAGTGTGTTTTGGGGCTGATATTCGGTGCAGTAGAGTATTATTCACACTCACAAGTAGGGCCGGAATTGTTGGAACTTGCTGCCGTAAAGATATGCTAGAGAGTTGATCATCTGCTGTTAAATGACAAGATGCTCTCTACTATTTGTTTGAGCCTTCTAACTAATTTTGCCATAATAATTTGCTATGCTGATCTATGCATGTTTTAACAAATAGTTATGCTAGATTGGTAACCCTTATAATCTTATCTTGATACTTTGATGTGACATTCAATATATCTAAATCTTTTGATATAGTTTTTTTTTTTTTTTTTTTTTTTTTTTTTTTTTTTTAATAGATTAACTATTGTGGATGCAGGGAAAATTACTGGAATTTGTGATAGTGCTCATGATGCACATGAAATTCTATTGCAAGGAGTATCAGTCCTGTTCAACAGAAATTCAAATTGTTCAAAGTATTCTTCTGGTTCTCTTATTGTCCTGATTGAGTCAATTGGGAAGAATTTTTCTGGAGATCTACTGGCAGTTGAATGTGCAGCACTCGTGTACTACATTTGCTGGTTCTCTTTGAAATGCTATTCTAATCATGCTCCCAGGTATATGCTGACTACCATTCCCATCCTTTAATATATTAGGTTTACTTTGTTTTGGCTCTGCAAGGAGATCATTAATCTATTTTCCAACCTCTTTGAACTCTTCTATATATGTGTGTACTGCATATGTAATCAATACACTTAGATTTCAATTCCCACTCATTTACTATTCGATGTAATTATTGGCAAAATGCATTTTAATGTAAGCTCAAGATGCTTTCCTTAGCCACAAAATATGATGGTTTAAATGTTCCAGTTGCTTTTGAGTGCATCAAATTATCTGCAACTCATGTTTTCTTCTCAAGCGAGGACAGCCTTTGACTGTTTTAGTATTGGTTGGCCAAGTAGAAACAGTTGCTGTGAGCTCTCAGGCATTGGTACAGAAAAAATCATTTCCTGGCTGAAGACATCATTTGTACTTTGTCGAGAAGTCCCAGTGTTGTTTCAAAAGGTAAGATCTCGTTATTACTTTGGTTTACCTTTACTTTTTGGTAGTGTTTTTATGTAAGTACCTTGCCTGGTAGGTTCCTTGGTTTTTAGTGGAGAGGATTTCATGAAGCAAATACTCCATGTGCAAAAGTTCAATCATAGGGTTTTCCTTCTCCATCTATTAGCTATATTCCCAAATTACTCGAACAACAAAGTTCTTTCTACAATCGTTTAGTTCATTTGAATAATTGTATCTATTTTATTCTTGTTGATTTGATTGGTGAAGGTCAAATGGACTAGTTGCAATAAGGCTAAATGAAGCTGAGATGTAGAGAGAATTAAATAGGGCCTATAGTGTTGAGAAAGGTTCATTTGGTAGATGAGGAGATTTTCCTTCATACTAATGGCCTTTTATACCTCATTGAAGAATGCCAACTTTGAATTAGGTTCTGTAGGTCAAGAGACTGCTCCGCTTGCGAATTGAATGTGTTAAATTATTAGGGAATCACAAAACTGATGATTCTAGTGTTATACATTTGGGAAATTACATAAAGTAAGAGGAAATCTAATAGGTGATATTATCTTGAAAACAAAATTTTAACATAATATATATTTTCTAAAAACCCTTTGAAATTGAGCGTGGGAAGTTATTTAAAATGTTCAACCCTTCTTAAATAGTACAATACATTCTCAATCACACAGAAAAGTTGTTCAGAAAAATGGCCACCAACACATGACGGGTTGTGCAACTAATGACTGTTATTAATTTGTTCAAGGCAGTGGCATAGGACTTATTCAATAATTTCGAACATTGGGCTTAGCTAATCAGAGTAATTCACAATTTGCCAGAGAAGTTACTTCAAAAGAGTCACACAAGTAAGAAGGATCTAATAAATAGCCAAAAAACAATTTTAAGATAGGATAGTGAGAATAGGTAAATCATTAAGCTGCTAGCAGCAAGACTTTCTTATTAATTTGTTTAAGGCAGTGGTTTATTTGACTGATTTAATACATTCCTGGAAATTCAGTTCTCTACATGTTCTGGCCATATGATACATTCTAACTGTCAACTGACTGGTTCTAATCAAGCAGGTATCAAGATTGCTTGCCACCATTTATGTACTTTGTACTTCATCGAAGCAATTTTCATTATCTCCACATGAGGAGGGTTTTGAAAGTTGGTGGGCCTCGTTCTTTCATCAAGCTTCACTTGGTACTCATGTTAACCAACATATCGTAACTGGAATGATGCTGAAAACCCAATGTCAAATTACTTCCGATTCTGAGGTAGGTCTTCTTTAAATTTCACCAACAAGTACAGAGGCTATGCTTGACTTCTAGCACCCAAGTCCAAAATACTTCCTGTGGTTTTAGTCAGTGATTGTTTCTGCAAGAATATATTGAACTCTTTAACTTGTATAAAGTTGCCTCTTCTAGGTTAAAAATTGCCTTTTGATACCTGTGTGAGTACTTGCATGGACCTTAGATCTCAGGAAGAATATTTCCAAATTGAACTTCATAACTGTGGACATCTTTTTAAATTATTCCTTCTGTATGCATTACTGTCGCACACAGGATGACAACTTTTAGATGTCCTTGCATTCACTATATAACCATTTGAGCATTTCTAATTTTCAAGTTCTATTCCTTCCCAGACTATGAAAAATTTTCCCCTCCGTTGTAGCTCTGTTCCATGCACTGTGAGCAAAGCTATGATTTAGTGTTTTAATGACATAATAATTGGAACTTGGAATTTATATTCATATTTATGTTTAAAAACTTTGGTCTTTATTGCCTGCTGCAGATTTGTTTGTCTCCTTCATTGTTTGAATAACTCCTACTTTCTAGAACATCTGTGCATTGTAATATGGATCCTTGTCACATGGTCCTTCTGTGTGTGTCAAATGAGAATTTATTATATTATTCAATAAGGTGTCTGTCCTCCAGCCTACTGCTGGATACATTTAATTTGAATGGAACTAAATCTCCAAGACTAATATTTGTACTGAGTGCTGGAAGTGATTGCTTCTGCCATGCTAAGCAACTTCTCTTTTGTAAACTGATAATCAGGAAACTTTTCCCAACTCAGAATCAACGAGACCGGATGTACCTGATGCACTCAGGTTTGTCTGATATAACTGAGAATTTATTACTGTAACTTGAATGTTTGGCCTTCGATTTTCCCACTAACTCCATCCTGCTACAGATCTGCACCCGAGTCTTCTGAGGATCTAGAAAAGTTTGCTCACAAGTTCTTTCAGGGTCTTCCGTCAACACCAGTCATCTGCATTAGCTTGGTTAGTGGCCTTGATGCCTGTCTGTTCAGGCAACTCTTGCATACTTCAGCCACAGTTAAAGCATGGATTTTGTTATCCCATTTGAGCTTAGATGATCAGCATATTGTTTTGCTGCCGATATGTACAACTCTGGAAGGTATTTTGTTCAAAATATTATTCTGTACTGATATTTCTTATGTCTTGTGTTGAGTTCAATTTGTTTCATTATTATGCAAGAAGCTTCGGAAGATGATGCCAGCTCCAGTTCTACGGTTTTCAACTGCAAAGATTTTGTCAAGAAGTGGCATTGTCCTTGGGTTTCATCTGTGATCGATGACATTGCTCCAGTGTTTAGACATGTTTTGGAGGGCAGCTACTATTCTTCCTCAGAGTATTTCTTGGAATCTATAAAACAAAACTCATCATTGTGGTGGATGCAGAGGAACAAACTTGATGAATGCCTCAGCAAGTTTTTGCAGTAAGTTTGAAATTTTCCAACTTACTTTAAATTGATTCTAAAACTTTAGTATATCATGTTACAGTCCCAGCTAATTACATCAAATTATTTCTAACATGGGTTCAACCTTTAGGTAGTTATGTTATATGAGCTTCCCAGTTTCTTGTCTGTGTTTTTTTTTTTTTTTTTGTGCTTACTGTGACATCTATGCCTCCTAGATTATTGTGTGTCCGCAATAGTCACTATCATCCAAACAAACAATAAGTAACTCTCATATCAAAATGTCTTCTTTTCGATCAGGGACATAGAAGATTACTGGCTGGGTCCTTGGAAATATTTGCTTTTGGGGGAATGGCCCGATTGCAACTATCTCGACTCTGTCCAGAAGAACCTTTTTGAAGATGATGAGAACTTTTTGCAGCTTGTTGCAGCCAAAAAATGTTATGCTGATCGTGGGCCTGATGAATCGTCTAAGTCATCCACAGCATGCAAAAATAAACTCGAGTCCTTATTCAGAAGAATGCTCAAAATATCCGATGATGTTGAGGAAGTCGAATGCTCAAATGGAAAGCCAATCATTTTGGTTTTGGATATCGAGCTCCAGGTGCGTTCTCGGTTTAGTTTATACAAACTTTCATGAGCCAATCATCTTGACATACCAAAATGTCCTCCGAATCTCTCGTAGTACAATATCTTTTCCTCAGTTCTTTTATGCTATTTTACATTTAACAGTATGAATCTATGGCACCTTTTTCTGCAGATGCTTCCATGGGAAAACCTTCCAATATTGAGAAGTCAGGAGGTTTACCGAATGCCGTCTGTTGGTAGCATCTTGGCAACGCTTGAAAGATGCCTCCGCCAAAACCATGAACAATTCCAACCCTTTGTTCCAGCCTTCCCACTGATAGACCCCCTGGATTCATACTATCTGTTGAATCCTGACGGCGATCTGAAAAGAACACAGGACGAATTCGAGAACTGGTTTAAAGATCAAAACATAGAGGTACTAAATCGTTACAACTGCAGCTTTCCTCTTTTATGCAAAATGTATCGACATTTTCTGAGGCTATTCTATCTGCACAAACTTGTCATACAGGGAAAGATCGGAACTGTACCCACCATTGAAGAACTCACCCGTGCTCTCAAAAGCCACGACCTCTTCATTTACTTCGGCCATGGAAGTGGTAAGCCATACAAAACAACACATTCCTTCACCTACTCATTACTCGATTTCAATCCACAGCCTAATATTTAAACAGGTACTCAATACATCCCCGGGCATGAGATTCAAAAACTCGACAAGTGCGCCGCATCCCTGCTCTTGGGATGCAGCAGCGGCTCTCTTTTTCTTAGAGGATGTTACATGCCTCAAGGGGCCCCGATTTCTTACCTCCTAGCTGGCTCGCCAGTTATAATTGCAAACCTATGGGAAGTCACGGACAAAGACATCGACAGGTTCGGCAAGGCAATGCTGAATGCATGGCTGAGCGAGCGATCGGATGGATGCTGCGACGAATGCGGCGAGCCTAGGAAGTGCATGCATGGACGGAGACGGAGGGTTGGATCGTTCATGGGAGGGGCTAGAGACGCGTGCGCGCTGCGATATCTCATCGGAGCTGCTCCGGTTTGTTATGGAGTTCCTACTGGGATAATAAAAAGAAAGGACTCGAAGGTATGAATCTGGTTATTTATTTTTGTTTTGAGGTTTAGTTACTTTCCTTTCAAATTTGTGTATAGTAGAGATGTCCTGAACTGAGTAGTATGATTTGTATTGATTTGTTGATCTCATCATTCTTGCATTTTATAGCCACCCAATATTTGGCCCGATTAGATTTAGAACCCACCCTGAATTGAATCGATCAATTTTATTTATCATATTATGATTTGATAAATTTATATTAGGTAAATTGCATATTATACTCTTCTGTTATATATATATATATATAATTACATTATATGTGCATTAAACTTATATTAATATAAAATTTATATAGTACATTTTATTTTTCAAAAGACAAGTAAAAATCACATATATACATATTTTGAATAAAAATGAACATTGTAAAAGTACGTATTTTGTATTTTGAATATTAATTACTATATATACAACTAAGCATAACTACAGAAATAAAAGTAAGATCGACATTTTATTTCTTCAATTTTATTCAAGGAAATAGATGAAATTTACATAATAAATTTCCAAGAAATTATAATGTCGATGAAAATTTGTGAAAGAAATATAAAAAGTAATATATTATATATGAAAATTAATATAGTAAAATATATTATTTAAATTGACACCCACAATCAAAATAGACAGAAAAGGAGGGCTCAAATTGGCAAATTACATACATCCTCAGTATAGAGTACTCAATGTGTGTGTGTGTTTAAACCAAAATGACATAAATCAAAGTAGGGAGGTACCATCTCCCAGTCCAGTCCAGTCCAGACCTGCTTATTCGCAATCTACCCTTCCTTTTCTCCAACATTTAGATCCTCAACACTTCAAATTTTGCATTTTAATCCATAAAAATTCCAATCGCCATTCACTACATAGTTATAGTTATTCAAACTCCCACCAAATATCATTCATTCATTTCTACTTACCTACCATCGTTACCTTCATTCCTATGCCGCCTTCTTCTCCCGGCCCCGGCTCGCCTCAACAGAGCCCTACCGTGATTCCGGAGGAGACGGTCCGCAAGCGATACACCGTTCCCGCCGTCATCGCCGTCACTATCACCGTAAAATCCATCAACCGCCGCGCTCCCCCGACTCAGCCTCACGACTCCTCCTCCGGCAGCATCTCTCTCCGGCAGTCGTCGCACACCACCCCTACTACCGCCGTTACCGTTACCACCTGCAGAACCAAATGCCTGCAGCAAGAAAAACATGGACAGAACGCCCCGGTCGATACCTGCATCGACGTATTCAGATCTGAGGAAAGAACCGTTCTCGTCGAATTCGTCGCCGCTGTCTAAATTGAAATGATTTCCTTCTATCACGTAATCGCCGAACACCACCGCTCCCGGCATCGACGACCGTATGTTGCTGATCACATCATCCCTCTCCCGCTCGCGCTCCAGTGTTCTCCACCTGTGTTCGAGAGTCGGGTCCACTTCATGCGGCTTGGCCGACGGGTGCTCGGCCCTCACGTGCTTTCGCAGCTCCTTGTACGTTCCGACAAACGTGCAATCGTCCTTCACACAGTTCCGTTTCTTGTAATTAAGATATTCCCGGGCGGGCTGCACCACTGTCCACCCCTTCACCTGACCCCGGCAGAGCGGGCAGGCAAGCCCCGTAGCCTCGGAATTCGCTAAGAACCGAGCACCGGAGAACGGTTCGCGGTCCCGACTATCGTTGGGAGCGTCGTGATGAGAATGGATTTGGCACTGTGCCGCTTTTGTGCAGGCCTTCTTGTACTGATCAAGGCAGTTTGAGTAGCGAAAACTCGTTCCGCACATGTAGGGACGACAGCCGTTTTCGTAGGAAGAACACAGGAGAAGAACGGCGTTGTGAGGATGCTCCATGCACACCGAACACGTCGCATCTTCCCAGTCCTTTTTGAATGTTTTGGAGAAACTCTTCTGCTGCGCGCACGATGACAAGGGGTACGGTGACGGTCTGCACTGCCTCGAAGCAATTCCGCGTCTGCCCCTTGAACCTTTTGCCATTTCCTGTCGATGAAGAAAAGCCAAATGTTAAATCTTTACAGATAAATTTCGATAGGACAGGAAGGTTACAGAAATGTTAAAGAGTTCGGGTTAGTATTTAAAGTCGGTGTTTTTCTTTGATGCAAATAATCAATTCCATGGAATGCAGATGATAGAAATTGCAAAGGAAATAAACAAATGAATTTGTCCATTTACTCTCTAAACTATCCGAATCACATGTAACTCTCCCTATCAATATATAAAAACTGCACTAGAATTTGGTTTTGTACCTGTTTCAGAACCACACAATTTATAGTAATATACTTTTTTCTTCTTAGGATATATCATATCCAACTCCAGTTTTCCATTTAAAACCTATTCTCATTCAAAAAATCATGTAAAAACCTATTTTCCATTAAAAAGGTTTCAATTCCAAAATACAAACAAACATTCATTCTATGGGGTAGTAATTAGCAGTTGAAAGAGGCTCATCAGGCATAAACACGAGTACAGAAGCCTTAAGGTTGTGTTTGGTTGGAGTTTTCCCATAGGACTTTCACTATGTATCAATTTCTTTCACCTAAAAACATCAACTCATATTTTTGTTTTTCATTTTTTATATTATACTAAAAATCAATTTTACATTTAAAATATCACATAGATCACATCAAACAACTATTCAAATTCAAATTCAAATTTTTTACTATTCAAAACCTAAACCCTAAATCCAAACCCCCAAACAAACACACCCTTTAGTTTCACCTCATGTGTCCCCCCTTACTAAGGTTCCGCTGTACTAAAGATAATAATTTTCTTATACAGATACGATGGGTGGCAAGTACAATCAAAATAAAACATGAGGAAGTAGAAAAGTAGTGTAGAACCAAGATAACCGAAGATGAATCAAGGCTAACAGATAGATCAGGTAACAAACAGTTGATACTAAGTGTGATGAAACAATATTAGGTAATAATAATTCTGGTACTCTCCCATGGTGACAAAGGGAATGTGCCACAATACGGCTACCAGTAAGGCTTGAGAAAATTAAAGCCAAGAGTGAGAGGAAAAAACGTAAATCTCGCACTTTTATGGTCACACAAAAACAATCATTCCAATATCATTCACTACCATATTGTTCTTTCAATCAACATTTTTCAAGATCACATCTTGCAAATGCATCATGGAATTAATCAAAAAATTGCATTACAACCACTTGATTCCTAACCTTAGAAACCTGAATTCACAGAAACAGAGTCTCCCCAAAATTCAAGCTCAACATTCACAGACAAATTCACATACAGCTGATCCAAGTAAATTGATAGCAAGTCACAAATTCCATTTTATTCAGAATTCACACCAAATTTCACAAAATTTGATAATTAAAATAAAATAAACTACACCTTACCTTACAGTTCTAGCAAAGCAAACCTTGAACCAAGCTGAAAATTACTCAAGGATATCAAACCACACCATCACTGGATCCACATATATACGAGCAAACCAAATTACCGCCTCTTGAAAAAAGAAATTAAAAATAAAACTAACAGCATACAGCCAAGATTTACTACGAAAAACTGCATAAACCACAGTTTGCACATCCACACATACATATTTTATGCCAGTGAAATTCGTCAACCATGTTCGGAAGGAATCCAAAACACAGAACAACGTGCTACAAGCACAGAATCACGCGTGGCAACAGACAGGAAATATTGAATATAATAAACAGCAAAATTCCGAACCTCAACTTAAGAACCCCCCAAATAATTACCAGTCAGTAAAATATTAGCGGAGAAATTTCACCAAAAAATCCTTCAACAAGTTCATAACATGCTTCCTAAATCAACCGCTCTTAAAGCACCAATTCACATGCCCCCATCCGGTTTTAAACACGATTTCTCATCACGAATTCATCAGTTCAACAAAAGTACCGAGCAACGACGACACGTACCGGAGATTTTGCTGGAGTGTGGAATTTGTCCGACCAGAAGATGCAGAGAAGATTGTAGAATGAATGTTTAGGGTTTAATATGCGAAATTGGGTATAGAAAGACCGTGGACAACAAGAGTGACGGGCAGTAACTGCACAGAACCGTGCGGTAGAGAACCGCAGAGTTTACGAAGCGGAAAAAATAGGCTACCCGCTCCATGCCCGGTTGGGCTAACCCGGACTAATAATTATGGTATTTTATTTTTTTTTTTATTTTTTTTTTTTTTGTATCTTTTGTATTAATATTTTTTTAAAAAAAAAAATCACTGGTAATATTTTAAAAATATAATAGAACCAGCCCTAAATCGTGTGCATCATATTTTAATAAAGCGATTTCTCTCCCTAGTAATTGAAAAAATTAAATTAATAAATAAACCAACATCATCATAACTACAAATACAATCATAAAAAACTATGTATTAATAAAAAAAAAAACAATCTAATAATACACTTTTAATTAATTATTATATTTAAAAAATTAATAGAAATAAAAAATTATATTTTATCATTCAATAAATAAAATTATATATTTTATCATTCAATAAATAAAATTATATTAGTATATTCGTGACAGTATTGTATTCTCTTTTTTTACTGTAAATATGAAAAAAAATATTTTTAGTGAAATATAATTAGTAAATAATTAAAATATATTAATTAAAATAATTATTATTTATTTTAAAAATTATAAAATTAAGATGAAAATATTAAAATTTAAAAAAATAAATTAAAAATTTTAAAATAGATTAAAATGTAGCATGGAGTAAAATTTATTCATATACTACTCCTTCGGTTCCATAGTTTTTCTTTCATATTTCCGTCCACAATTATATATTTTAATTACATTTAAGTTTCATAGTATATTATTTAATTATTTTAATTTAAAATTTATAATTATTTTTATTAATATATTTTAATTATTTGTTAAGTATATCTTATTAAAATTTTTATATCAGACTTTTAATAGAATAAAAGAAGTATTAAATATTTATATTAACTATTTAATTATATATATTACTTTATTAAATTAATATTAAAAATACATTTTAATTAAAATAATAATGTGAACAACAGAAGAAAGTATTAAATATTTATATTATCTATTTGATTATATATTTTTTTTTATTAAAAAAATAAAGCTAAAAAAAAATTAATTTTAATTTGATATTAAATAATATAAAATAAAATATTTTGTTAAAGATAAATATATTTTTTTTAAACAAAATTACAAACTCCAAATAGTTAAATAATAGAAATTGGAATTTTGGAGACCAAAAAATTATATATTTTTGATCTTTTAACTTAATATAAAAAATATTTTTATATTTATAACTTTTTGTATATAATTTTTTTATTAATATTATAAAATATTAATTTAAATATTTCTTTTTTAATTTGTACTTACCATTTAAGAAGTAAATGTAAACCGTATCGAATATAATATTAATTGTAAAAAAGAAAACCAACCAGGAATCCTAAGTATCAAGTTGCCCCGCCCCCAGGAAAATTTTCACCCTTTAATTTTGTGCCAATTTTGACACAAAAAATGGTATTTACTATCGATAAATACTATTTTTGGTATTTGACTGTAGCAAAAATATCATTTGTTGTGTATGTTTTTGTTTTCTTTTTAAAAAAAAAAAAAATTATACTAAAATTTTTATTTATTTATTTTAAAAATATTAATAGCAGATATAAAAAATAATTTAAAATAATATATAAAGTAAAATATCTGAAAATATTATTTTTAAAGTAAAAAATACAATGGTAAATTAAAGTAAAAATACTGTAGTTAAGCTAAAACTGCACAAATAGAATTAGTCCGTTAGAAATGGGCTGAGGCTGAGCAGGGGTGGGTGATGCTTAGACAATCCTGATACAGTTGTGGATGATGCTGTACAATTTTCTTCTCCTTTCTTCTAGGTCTTCGTTTTCCGATGTCTGTCTTCACCTTAGCTGCGTCTCCTTCATCGTTTAATTATTTCTTGTTAGTATCCTCTTCACCTCTTCTCCGGTGGAGTTTTGTACTTGTAATTGTAATAGCTGTGAAAATATGCTGAATTTGTTTGTATTTATAAGAGAAAGAATGTTCTGGTGGGTGGGTACGTGTAGGATGTTTACATAAGTTGTCCGCTATTGCGTCGGCTTGGCGGTGCCCGGTGAGGTCCCAGAATTTAAATACCCATCACATCTTCTGTCTTAATAAATAAAATTATTATATTTTAGAGGATGGACTTATCATCCTAAAAAAATCATAGGTAGGTGTAGGACTCGTAAAAAATAAAAAAATAAAAATAATAAAATAATAAAAAAAAAAAGATTAAATTATACCTTTTTTCTCATATACACACAAACTCCACAAAAATTAAACTCTCAATTTACAAAAAAATATATCCAAAACCCGTGTTTGGTTTGGGACTTTTTTTTATGAATTGTTTTCTATTTATTATTTTTTTCAAATTTTTAAAAAATATTAAACTGAATTATTTTTTTACTATTTATAACTATTTATCTAGATCACCTAAAATTAAATATAAAAAATCACTCTCTCAATGAGTCTATCTGAGAGAGTGAACTCTAAAATCTACCCTGCAAAAATAACAAAATAAACAACAATCATCTTTAATTTTACAAATTGATTCAAGCTACACATCTCTTAATATCTAAGCTCCAATCAACACTAGTGATTTTTTTCAACCCTAACTTTGGTAGGAATAGTTGGACACAATTAGCAGCAAAGCAAGCAAGTCATCACACAGATTAAACCTGCATACCAATCTCTTCTTATTCACACTTAATCGGCTCCTACGCTCATTTTACCTGGACAACAATCAAGAATTAATTACCTCCGCCCGCGGCAGGCAGCTCGTCGTCGTCGTGATAGATGTTCTCGGCCATCTGCCACACCTGAAGAACATTGTCCTCAGCTACGCTGGCAACGACCCAATCATCGCACGGATTCCACGAGAAGTCGGAGATTCTGCTCGTATGCCCACCGTGAACAAACAGCAGCTCCGGTGGCCCGTCCTCATTGTCTCCGGGGGCCTGTTCTTGGTCGATCCTATCGAAAAAAGCAACGTTTATGCACAGATGAAGCGCCGTGCATGTGCATGGATGCAATTCATTTTTTATGTTCCGATTTCCGGGTGGAAAATGGCGTACCTGCTAAGATCCCAGACCATCATTCGTCTACCGAGACAGCAAGAAGCTAAGATGGTTTCGTTCTTCGGATGCCATCCAACCTGGAAAACCTCCCGCCTGTCAGGAAGTCAGAAATCGAATTAGAGCAACCTAGAGTACACCATGTTGTATCAGATATAAAACTGAACGTGACCAAAGATCGCCTACTTGTGGCTATTCAGAGTGTGTAATGCCATGGAAATCTTGCGTAGATCGAACAATTTTACGGTTTTGTCGGTGGATCCGGTTGCCACGACCCACTCGTTGAATGGATTGAAAGCCAGGGAGTTCACCTATAAATGATGTATGTCAGAAATAACAATCTCAAATAAACAGTCATTATTGTAGAACATGTTGAGCAAGTGCTTGGAGATGGTCGAATCGTGACACCAACCTCACTTTGATGCGCAGTCACCGATTGTATAGGCTTTACAGGAGATGGGGTTCGTAGATCCCACACGTGCAGATATTGATCGTCTCCAACGGAACCAAATAAGTGCTCATGCTTGAAATGCCAAGCCACATCTTCGACCACGCCGTCATGAACCTGCTTGTACACACAGAGAAAAATACACACATATATATAAATATATATATATATATACTTTACTGGGACTGGGGAGGAGCTTTATCCCCGACAAAAATAATAAAAAGAAAAGGGTGAGCGTAGAGGCAAACCTTAAATATCTGCATGGCATTTAGAGACTTGTTATTTGGAACAGCACTTATGTCCCATAAGCATATCTGGGAATCGTCTGAGCCGCTCAACAAGTGGCCCTGCTTGAAGTGACTCCACGACAAGCCATAGCCTTCGGCATTGTGACCAGTGAGTCTCAAATCGGGGCTGCACGCACCATCCAGGGGAGGTTTAGACGGATGTTTACTGTAATCGAATATGTAAACTTCTGCGCTGACTGTCTTGGTGGCAATAATGGATTGATTTTGAGGCATGTGACGAGCGCGATTCACCTCCCCCTCGTGGTTAATTTGTTGGATGATCTGCACCTGTAAGGACATACAAACAAACAACAGCAAGAATGTGTCATATACATGATCTAGTCATAAACGAAAAGACATAGAATTTACTCTACACAGCAGTTTAATGGAAGCAAATCTATGTGGCCGATAAATAACAATGTGCTTGCTTAACTCAGAGAACAGCTCACAGATCAATGGCCAAGCAGAGATATGAGCCATAGAAGTGGTACCAACTACTTGACAATCGTCAAATAACTTGGCACGACCAAATTGGGAAGTAAGCATAAATAAATGCGCCAAATGGCCAAAAGAAGGATGAGAATCTTCCAAGCTGCTCAAATCGGCACATCAAGTAATTTAGGCAAGGGTTTAATGAATCAAAGTCAATACAAGAAGTAAAGTTCAGTGATTGCTCAGATCGTGTAATGTGGGGAGGAAAATTTTGTCTTACACCATTAATAAGCTTGATCTTCAGCTCTAACTCTTAAAAGACACATGTAATACGGAGGAAGCTAATTTTGTAATCTACACCATTAATAAGCTCAATCTTGAGCTCAAACTCTAAAAGGACACACAAGTAATACGGGGGAGGAAAATTTGGTATTCTACACCATTAATAAGTTTGATCTTGAGCTCAAACTCTTAAAAGACACACATGTAATACATGGGAGGGAAATTTTGTATTTTACGCCATTAATAAGTTTGATCTTGAGCTCAAACTCTTAAAAGACACACGTGTAATACAGGGGAGGGAAATTTTGTATTTTACGCCATTAATAAGTTTGATCTTGAGCTCAAACTCTTAAAAGACACACATGTAATACAGGGGAGGGAAATTTTGTAGTTTACGCCATTAATAAGTTTGATCTTGAGCTCAAACTCTTAAAAGACACACATGTAATACAGGGGAGGGAAATTTTGTATTTTACACCATTAATGAGCTCGACCTTGAGCTTAAACACAGTTGAATGCCGGGGATGGAAATTTTGTAACCTACACCAAATAATGAGTTCAATCTTGAGCTAAAACCCCTAATGACACTTGTAATGCAGGGGAGAGAAATCTTGTATTTCTTCGCCATAATGAAATTGATCTTGAGCTCGAGCTCTTAAACACAAGTAGGAGCAGGCCATGGGGAAACTCAAAGCTACTTTTACCCTACAAAGATCTCGTCCTTAGTCTAAACACCACGTTTTCTTAATCAATCATGTTTACATCTTCACTTATACACACTTCTTAGTCGATTATCTCTCCACTGACTCCTAAATTTCCTTTCTCTTAGTTCAAATGGACAGAGAAATGTAAGTGGATTAAATTTACCGAAAATACAACAAGATGTGTTCGTGCAGCAGGATTAGAGCGTTCTCAGATCCTAATAATCAGATAAATTTAATCGACACCGAATTCAGGCTAGAAGGTGCTTTCTGCGGTTATCGTATGAACAAACATCGAGCAAAAGCTAATGAGGAAAACCAGAAAAGATACCTTCCCATTTTTATACCCAAATTCGGCGCGATCTTCGGCGTAATGGCGAGCGTCCTTCTCAGTGTGTTCGAAAGGCAACTGAACCTCCGCCAGCATCAGAGAGTTTTGCTCGTCCTCCGAAGTGTGCGTGCCGAGAATTAGCCGCTGGACGGCGTAGTCCTTCTCCGGCGGCTCCTCCCGGCCAGGCAGCCACTCCACCGTCAGCGACGGCCACTCGAGCGCGTGTGTGATTACCAGATCGTACAAAAACGGTACGTTCTTCTTCCAAATCTTGTACTCCTCGTCTATTACGCGCTCCTCTGCCTCTCCCCTCGTCTCGCCGTCGTCTTTCCCCATTTGCGGAGCTCCCTTACCACTGCCGGAGACGAATCGCGCCGTCGGATTTGTGAGATTTGGAGAGGAAAATTGGAGGGAAGGCGGAGATTCCAGAGCAGAACTAGCAGTGCTTTTTCACGCGGAATGGTTTTTGTGAAATGAATTGTTAATACGTTCAAATTTGGGACACGGGTTTAGTCTTTAGTCCAACCCAATCCCTGCTGGCATTTGTGTATGTATATCCGGTGTGTTTGTTTGTAAATTTGAATTTTGAGCTGCATTAGTAAAAATTTTAAATTTGAATAATTTTATCAGATTATATAAATAGGCGTTGATGTGATATTTTTAATATAAAATTAATTTTTAATATAATATAAAAAATAAAATTTTAATTTGATATTTTTTAAGATAAAAAATTGAATGAATAACATATTTGAAAAAAAATTCAACAAACAAATTTTAAATATATTTATTTATATAGACGTGTTTAGAACTATTGGTATTTTTATATTTATTTTTATTTTTAAAATAAAATAATACTAGTAGTATTTTAAAATTATTTCACATTTTTTTGTTATTTCTATGTTTTCAATTTTTACTATAATGATGATATGCTGGGATGAAACTAAACTTAGCTGGTACAGAATTAATCTGGAACATTAATTAATTAATAGTAATTAAGTAAATATATTTATATTTATATAATTTATTTTTTTTTTTTTTTTTGTATAAATATCATTTTTATTAGTTTTATTTTATTAGTATTAAAAGACACTAATTGAAATATTTTTTAATTTTTTTTTTAATTTGTACTATATTTTAATATAATAATTAATATTCAAATATCAATACGTAAAAAGTAAATAAGACATTGTAGGCGAATGAAAATAATATTACATTTTCTAAAAGTTCATTAGTTGTAATAACAATAATAAAAAGATTAATTACTTAATTAATGATTACTTTTTTTTAAAAAAAAATATCAATAGTTTATATATATAAATACAATTCAAATTTATTTAAAGTATCGTGTTTGTTTACCCAAACTTTTTTTTTGACATTATTTCTCTGGTAAAAGGTTAAGGATAAATGATTTTTTTTTTGTCTTTGTAAGTATATGCAATTGTGTAATAATAATAAAAAATATGAATAGTTTTATGGTGATATGATTATTTATGAAAATGAGACTATTGTTTTGAGACAGACAAAAATGGTAAACAATACTATTGTATTGGGACGGATGGAGTATAAATAATTATTTTTTATATTATTTACGCAATTTTTTACCAATCACATGACAAAAAAAAAAAAATCAAATTGAATCACTAAACAAACAAACTCATCATGTTTATCTATGTATTTTTAATTAATTTTATATTTAATTTCAATATTTAAATTTTAAAAAATTTATATATTCAATTTCAACAAACTGACCAATAAAAATAATAATCTCTTCGCTTAGCTCTTTAACAACGCTGTCAAAAATAAATATTGTTGAGCAATGTACTAGTTCAAATTTATTTTTCAAATTCAAATAATTTTAATATTTTAAAATAATAATTATTAATAATATCACGTTTTATATAATTTAATATTTTTATATTAAATATAATTTTATATAATAGATATTATTTTATATATTTGGTTGGTTGGATTTGATTTAAATGATTTATTAATATAGTATTTTATGAAAAAATAAATAAATAATACTCGGTGTCCATTTTTTAAGTAAACATTTAATGGTAGTTTTGGAAATGACGAATATACCCTTTATCATTAAAAGGAAAAATAAGTGTAATGATATTGATGTAAATAAATATAAAAATGAGGGTATGTGTAATGCGGGAGTGGAATTCACATTTATTAAAAATAAATGATTATTTGTAATTAGACAATTTAAAATAAAAATGTATATACTTTGTGACTAAATTGAGGAATTATATTATTATCCAGATAATATCGAATATTAAAAAAGAAAATATAAAGAAAATTTAGCTTTTTAATTAAAGTTTTGATTTAATTAATATAATAATATAATTTTAAAAATAAATTAATATAGTTTTATTAAAAATCACGTAACAAAAACTTAAAATTTTGTTTGAAATAGAAACCAAACAATATTTTATATAAAATAATACTATTAATTGTGATATATTATATGGTACATAAATTATTAATTAATTAAAATTATAAATATAAATTAATTAATAATTTAATTAATTAAAATTATAACATTTTACTAGCAGGACTTACACATAATTCTTTTTATTTATTTATTTTTCTTCAATAAATAATATTTTTATTTACATTTAAAAATTTTTATTTTTTAAAAAAAATTAGTTTAGATTAATTATAAATAAATTATTATTTTATTTGATTCTATTATATAAAATTTTGTTTCATATAAAATAATATTCATATTTTATATTTTACTGAGATTAAGATCTAAAATACATATTCTAAATTTTTTAATTATATGATTAATTTTTATTTATATAAAAATCAACATCACTATTCACATAAAAAAAAAAAAAACTAATATGAATTTATATAAGTCAAAACTTATCATTTTATTTTTTTGAAGTCAAACTAATTGTCAGCTAATTACAAATATATATTTATTTTTTATTTTTTATATTACGTTTACTTGAATGTTAAATACAAAATAAACATTATATTATTTTATTATTACACTATATATTTATAAAATATTAAGCGTGTGTTTGTTTGGGGGACTGAATTGGATTTATATTATTCATTCAATTTTTTTCCTCCAAAACCATAAAATTAATATCTATTTTTTATTTTTTATATTATACTAAAAATTAATTTTATATTCGAAACATCACATCAACGTCTATTTATATCACATCATACAACTATTCAAATTCAAAATTTTTAATATTCAAATCTCAACTCATAATCCAGGCTCTCATCGACTCTATAAATGTGTATTAGCGGTAGTGGAAGATTTGGGGTTTGCTTGTTTTGTGTTTTTGTTTTAAGGATTTTTAGTTTTATTTTTTATATATTTTTAATGCGGATTATATAGAATTGTGTAGAAAATATAAAAATAATGCGTATGTGTAATATAATAAATTTTTTGAAAAAATATGTTTAAATTTTTTCACAAAGCAAACAAACCCTTGTTTCTAACATGAGCAATGAATATTTATTTCTAATAAAATTATTAAACTTAAATACACACAATTATTTAATTTTGGTTTTTACTAGTAAATTGTAATCTTCAGGATTGAATACCCATTATTATCCCTTCTATTAGCTAAACTTGTATAATTTTGTTTGGATAAATAAAATAAAATAAATTTATGAGATATTACGAGTATTATGAAAATTTTATTAAAGAATTTATTGAAAAATAGAAGAAACTAATGAAAAGTGATATGTGATGTGTTTACATTTATTTATTTTTTTCCTTTTTTTTTTTTCAATTTAAAAATAAAAACTTTTTGTATATTTTTTCAAAATATTATATTAAAATTTTATTTAAAAAACTCAAATCAATATTAAATCTTAAATAAATTTCAAACTATAATTTTAACAAACCCTATTTATGCGATAAAAGTTATTATTATTATTATTTAAATAAAAGTTGTTATGTAATCTCAAATAAATATTCTAAACAAAGTTCAAATTTTTGTTTCCTATATATATTGTTATTTTTTTATAATAAAATATTAGATATGTAAATTCATATATATATATATAATTTGAACAAACCAACCAATATATAAAAGTACGATAAATATATTTATTTGATACGATATAAAAACATATTAAGAAAATATTTTAAATGTAAATTTAGATTCTAATATAATATAAAAAAACAATTACTTTATTTAGAAAAAAATAACAATATTATAAAAAAATCCAAAAAGAAAAACAACTAATGGTAACAAAAGTGGGATAAAATGCAAAAGTAAACAAAACTAATGGATTTCTTTGGTCTAGATTTATGTAATAGTATTTTAAATTTTTGTATAATAAGTATAATATATTATCAGAAAAATAGCAAAATTTTGCTGTTAAGTCCAATAAATTTTTATTTTTTTAAAAATAACTTAAATTATTTAAAATTCAAAAATGGAGACAAACATGGAATATAAATAAAGATAATCCATTGCGGGTAGATAGAGGGTGGAATGAATACCGATAGGGATTAGTATTAAGTACAGTACTAAAATCACTATAACAATAATAATAATTAATAATTAATAAATAATAGAAACAATTTATTTAATATTTATCCAAAAGAGTAGAAAAGAAAATAGTTATAAATTCCAAGACAAAAGGGAAAACTAAAATAGGGCTATAAAACAGACTTTGTTCACAAATAAAATTAAAAAATTAAAAACAAAAAAAGAGGCATAGAAAGAAAGAGAGAGAGAGGCGCATATCATCGCATACATTCATACTCTTAGATACATACATACAAAATCTGCCTTCTTCCAATCCGCCTTTCTTGATTCTCAGCAGATAAAAATCTCAAGCCGACGAACACTTCTTTTGTGGGGGTTTTGTTGTTGGAATTCTTCGGGGAAGGCGTGCAATTTTCAATTGTTTGGGTTTTCAACAGTCCAAACGGCAGGACCACCCCGAGGCGGCGAGTTCGGGGGACGGGCGGACAGACTACTCACTGACGGACAGACTAGGGTTGTTTATCCCCTGGCAAAGAGGATTTTGACGGGGGTATTTGTATTTTGTTTTGCCTTTTATTTTCAATTGAGGAACTCTCTGGGTTTTATGCGATTCTATTCGCCATTGATTTATGCGTAGAGGTTGTTCGGGATATCTCGATGGCTTTATTGTTTTCTTGGTAATTTGTGTCATGGAACCCTAGGAGTTTTGAGAGTTTTTTTTTTTTTGTTTTGTTTTCTTGTGGTGGTTGGACTGTAGAGTCTAGGGTTCGAAATTTGCCTGGGGTTTTTGTGAATTTGGGTTTGGGGGATTTACACTGTTTTCTGTTGAGAAGTGTCTTGATTTCATTGCTTCTGGTGTACCAGGGGTTCCTTTGCTTTTTCTTTCCGGCGCTGTGGAGGCCTTGGGAGAATCTGCTAGTGCTGATTCTGGAGTGAGAGAAACTGTTATGGAAAATTGAAAATTTTGAGTTGCTGGAGTGGAGGTTTTCGATTTACTGGACAGAGGAGTGGATGTTTAACTTAGAAATAACCCTAGCTTCTGTGTACAGAGCCGGATGAAATTCTTTGATATGGATTTCTCTGATTCTTGTTCGGAGTCCTAAGCGGTCGTAACTAGTGATTCTGTGATCGATGCGTAGGAAGTTTAGATTTGCGAAAGAAATATTTGGGTGAGGTGAGGTAAGGTGAGGTTAAGTTTTGTTAGATTGTGGGGAGAGAGGGAAATCGACATTGAGGTTTTGACTTTCGATTATTAATCCAAAGAAGGAAAGTTGAGTTGTTTCGACATTTATTTTCTTTTTTGTCTATGATAATGATTAGCACTAGTTATGGAAAGAAGTGAGCCTTCATTAGCACCGGAATGGTATAAAAGTGCCGGAAGCTCAGTTGGTGGCAACTCCTCGTTGCATTCAGGTAGCATTCTGACTTATTTAAGCAAAAGGGTATCCGATCAATTTTACACTCAAATCAATCATGGTTTATTTAATGATCTTTTTTATCGTGTTAGATGATCATGGTGCATTGAGAGTTGCGAGGAATAAGCCTTTTGTGAATGGTAATGGTCATGATTTTGGACGATCATCCAGCTCAGAAAGAACTACGTCTTCCTACTTCCGTCGGAGTTCAAGTAGCAACAGTTCTGGTAATTTTAGATCTCACAGTAATACAGGTAGAAACCACCACGACAGGGATTGGGATAAGGAACACTACGATTCTCGAGACCCGGACAAGTCAACTTTTGGAGACCGTCGTCTTCGCGACTTTCCCGAGACCCCGGGAAACAACACTTTAAGTAAATTTCATAGGGATGGATTGAAGCGCTCTCAGTCGATGATTTCTGGCAAACCTGGTGGCTCATGGCATAATAGAGTTGCAACTGAGTCGAGCAGTGGGAATGTGAAGAATGGCAATGGTTTTCTTGCCAAAGGGAGCCCTGTTGGCGGGGTGAACAAAAAATCGTTCGAAAAGGATTTTCCGTCATTGGGAGCAGAGGAAAAAGCTGTTGCACCTGAAATTGGAAGGGTTCCTTCTCCAGGCTTAACTACTGCCATTCAGAGCTTACCTACAGCTACCTCGTCTTCTCTAGCTAATGAAAAATGGACATCAGCTTTGGCAGAGGTACCGACTTTAGTTGGAAGTAATGGTACGGTCTTGCCATCTGTGACACAAGCCGCTCCTTCTGTTTCCATGCCTGTGACATTGGGCTCAACAAACAGTCTCAACATGGCGGAAGCTGTGGCTCAGGGTCCTAGTCGTACTCAGACTTCTTCTCAGGTTTGTCCATTTTCATTTGTTGCAAGAGTTTCAAATAGAGAGTGTATTGATGCACCTTGGGGGTTTTTCTGTAGTTATCTGTTGGAACTCAGAGGCTCGAAGAGTTGGCCATCAAACAATCGAGGCAATTGATTCCTGTGAAACCAACCTTCCCAAAAACATTGGTAAGAATGCAACTTTGCAGCTTTAAATTTTGTGGATATTTGATTTTTGCTTTGCTGTGCTGTGCCTCCATTTTCTTTGCATTCATATTTATGTGTCGCGCAGTTAGTGGATGGGGTGGGAAATAATAATATTCGTTGATTGGCTAAATTTCTTGTATTTATATGGGGACATTGATCCAAAGCTTAAGTAATATCCGTGTAAAAGAACTACTAGTTTTGACTTTTGAGAATGCAACTTTCCTAGTAGCCTATACTGGTGGAGAAAACAAAGACGAAACTTTACGGAGCTAAAGTAACGGTGTATTCTAGGAAGAAGTGCTATCAAACAATTTTTTGTAATTTTCAGAAGCATGGAATAAGCCAGGAGTTGTGGAAATTGTCTTAATCTATACCAAAGGCGGTGTTGAGTTATTCTTTAATCTTAATTACTTTCTGTAGCACAATTTGTATCAGCCTGTCAGGTATAGTTTGTCCTAATCATTGCACAGAAATACTACCATTTTATGATTTCCATATATAAATAACACAGCAAATTGCTCAGAGCTGGAGAACAACGATGACTTTGGATTATTAAGTTGTAAGTGTTACCATAGTATACGACCCGGGGCATTTAATCTGTAATAAATCCTTTAATGCTGCATCTCACTTCAATCCAGTTCGCAGTAGTATGCCTCAAGGCAAGTCATTCGTTTCTGAACTTTATGACAACTTTATGACAAGTAAAACTATTTATGTATATATTTATTGTTTTTTCCTAGATGTCTAGGTTGTTTGCGAAACACAGATAGGATCGAAGGTAAATAATATAGGTTTCTGATCTGGCAAGAAAAGAATCAACTGTACTTGGGGTGAGTAAGTTAATTTAGAAGCCATAGCTCTTGAAATGATATTAAACAATTTATGCGATATTTCCAGAATCTTGTAAATGAAGTAATGCATGAATGTTTTTTATTTTTTATTTTTTTGCTCTTATTCTGTATGAATATAAGTTGGGGCTGGGGTGCCCTGGATTCTTCTCAAATTTGAACTAGACTGCACGTGGTCAAACACGCGTGGAAAATATCCCGCTGCAACTTTTCAGTATAAGTGTGATCTTCTTGTCTTGCTATCTACTTCAGTTATGTGAATTTGTTGTATGAGATTCCATGTCCATAAATGGTGTCATAACCAAAACTTTGATGTATATATATACGCATGCCTTTAGATGGTTAATTTTGTAATTTAAAGATGATGGGATACAGAAAAGTAATTTTACACGACAGAAGTTTGGGCCTGTGTGATTTGAGCCATAATGGTAATTCTTCATTATATGAACTTTTTGTGTTAAATTGTTGTGTTAGATACTATGTACAGAAATGACAGGTTCAATAAAAACTAAAATGGTGTATGTATTTGGATGGTAAATACGCAATTAATGATGACATAATAGATAAAATTTAATTCCCAGAAATAAAGATGAAGCCGGGAAATTTGAACCATCATTATAACCATTCTTCACTATTAAAAATCCTTAATTCTGCTTGTTTTTTCATGGACTGGTCATTTGACAGGTCCTTAAGTTATTGATGTTAATTTAGTCACTTTTTATTTTTGGTAAACGACGAATCTACTTAATAGATGCATGTAGCTCTCTTTCAATGGCCATTCTTCACAACGTCTTCCTAATTTAGAATTAGGGAAAACATCTATTGAATCTCATTCTTCTAAGGCTATGTGTTTGCTCCATTGGTAATTATATTCCATCCAACTTTTAGATGTAATATGTTATTTTGTTTTACATGGTTAAGATTTTGATGAGTTGATATATTGTAGTGACTTTATTTTGTCGCCATTCTCACACCATTTAATTAGCTGTTCCATGATAAGACAAAAATATTTAACTTTGTCCATCTAGTCTTCAAATCGATGTATAATGCCATATTGGGAATTGGAAAATTCTGACATCCTAGTTTATATGCTTTTTTAGCTCCATCATATTAGTTACACCTGGCGATTGTTAAATGAAATTACAAATGGTCCCTTGTAGGCTATATAAGATGCATCCGAAAGTGATGAATTATATTCCATCTAACTTTTAGATTATTTGTTGTACGACAATAAGACAATTCCTCGTCCCAATCTTCTACTTCAGTTGTGCCTCTGATAACGTAGAATTCTACTTGTACGGGCGTATGGATTAGGCTATTAACTTTTAAGTTTGAAATTTGCTTCAGGCATTGAATTCTAATGAAAAGCAGAAGAGTAAAGTCGGTCAGCAGCAACAGCATCCTGTTTCTTCAATTCCGACTAACTTCTCTGCTCGTGGTGGATCTTTAAAACCCGATGTTACAAAGGGATCTAATGGGGGGAAGCTCCAAGTCCTCAAGCCTGTACGTGAAAAGAACGGTGTCAGCCCTGTTGCAAAGGATAATGTGAGTCCGAATGGGAGCAAAGCTGCAAATTCTGCACCTGCTGCTCCGCCATTGCTCTCTGTTTCTGCTGCAACCCGAGGCCTACCAGCTACTGTGGTTGATAAGCGGCCATCCCCTCAAGCTCAGAGTCGAAATGACTTCTTTAATCTTGTGAGAAAGAAGTCGATGGCGAACTCCTCGTCCACTTTCGAATCATCTCATAATTCTGCATCACTTTCGGATGCTTCCACTGCTGTTCCTCAATCTTATGTAGATGTGAAGCATGATTCTGAGATGGAGGCTGTGTCGGGCGGTAACAATTCTGAGGCGCTGTACGAACCGTTACATTCTCAGGAGAAATCTGACTCTACCTCCAATGGCGATGATGCGCAGAAGTATGCAATTTATGGGAATAAATATCTTCGGATTCCTTCTGAGGAATGCGAGATTGCATTTTTACGACTGTTGGGCTGGGAAGAAGACGGTGAGGATGAAGGTCTTACTGACGAAGAAATCAACGATTTTATCACTAAGGTACACTACTCAGTCTCTTTTCCATTCACATTACCTTTATCAACAGGATCATTCCAAAATCACCTTCCAAAATTACATTTTCTGTTTCCCGCAGCATGTCACTTCAAAATCATCGCCTTTCAACGGCACGCTACTGCGCGTGTCTCCTCTCAACTAAAAATCGCAGGTATCGATGACATTTCCTCCGGTTTGAGCTTCACCTGATGCTAAACTCTTATACGGCACAGTCTCGATTTCCATCCATATACCTTTGTTTTGCTGGAGAAAGCCTGTGTTTACTGATCTTGTGTGTTCATTGGTTTCGAAGTAGATAACAAAAGAGGGGGGAAATTAGGGGGTGTATTCGATAGTTTGATGCAAATGAAATAGGAATAAGTCACCGATGGCTAAATGCTCCTTCTTCGCCCGGCCCTTGTCGGGTCTAGGCTTTATCTACTAGAGATATATATAGTAGAAATAGGGTATTTATGATCGAAAACAAAGAAAGAAGAAACACAGACAGGCAAGCAGATATATTGCTCTTCTGCACATCAATTTTTTTTCTCCCTTTTTGAACAGGGATGGATGGCAATGAGATGATCTTTTGGAAACTTGTCTTTTTTTAATTTTATTTTATTATTTTAATGAGAAATAGGAAATTAAAAAATCATTCCATTTATTACTTGCAATTTGCTGCTGTGATGTGTTGGTTTTGGTTGTTTGTTGTTTGTTGTTGTTTTTCTGGGTATAGGACTGATTAATGAATGCATTTGTCAGAAAGTCGTAGGAAGTTAGGCCTGAGGAAGTATATATATATATATATATATATAAAGATTACTTAATGTTTGTTGGTGGGTTATAAATTAGGTTGGAAATTAAATGTTGAAATTCAAGTCTCGTGTAATCTGTCATTGTCTTACCTGCTGGACTTAGGTTTTCTTCTTCTTTCATCTTTATATATTTGTGGATGAGAGAAGATTATCTGTTATTCAATAATTATTTATATTTGAACTAATCAAATATAAAAAATTATAATATTTTATATTGAATTATTGAACTATTGTGAGGAGAAAAATATAATATTTATGGTAAATTATTTTATAAAAAACTATTAGAGTATTTTTATTTTTATAAATAATAATTAATTTGAACAAAATGATGTAAGTATTCTGGACTGAAAGAAATATATTTTTATATCTGATTAATTGATTACATAGGTAAAAATAATTATTATATAGTAAAAATAATTATAGATTAAGATTAAGATAAATAAATAGTTTAATTAAAATTAAAAAAATTATAAAATTTACAATTGAAAATGCGATTAAAGTGCATAATTATATTTTCAAAAATAGAAATGACAAGTTATGTAGGATGGACGAAAATAGAAAATAGGAACAAATTATATTGGACAGAGAGACTATTATTTTTAAAAAATATATTATTAACGAAGAGTATCAAAATTTTCAATATATATATAAATAAATGAATAAATAGAACATTAAAGTTTGAAAAATAGGAGAAGGCAACTTACTCAACACGCACGTGTGTGTACGGCCGTGTGTTTGTTGTTTGAATTTGACAATATATATTATCATTAAGAAAATGGAAATTAATTTGGATACGCATACGCTATTTGTTTGGACTATTGATTGAAAATTTTTAAAGTTGACTACTCTATATATTGTCGCATTGCATGACGTGTCTGTCTATTTGTCTATTATTATTATTATTATTATTACTCTCTCTCTCGTGATAAATAAAGTATTTATTTTTTTATTTTAGTCAGTTTTATGATAAAATATTTTTTTAGTAATTATATTATCTATCTAATATTACAAATATCTTTACAATTTACAATATATTACACAAATGTCATTACCTTTGTAATAAAGTTATTTTACTCATTTTTACTTTATTTATACTATATCCTAATATAATACTAATATTTTTAAAATTACGTGAAAAAGCAAATAGATATTTATTTATGGGACGAAGGACTATTATTATTATTATTATTATTATTATTATTATTATTAAAGTACAGCAATTCATGCCTATAACGGCACAGATATTATCGAACTTGTGTGTTTTTTATTTTGAAGTAATTTGTATTTTTGAGTTTGAATTTTTTTTTTTTTAATAGGAAAAGGTTTATTGACTAATGTTTTGAGTCAGCAATATCTGTGGAAATTGTGAAAATATGTTTGGTTGCCCAATCAAGCTTTTTAAAATAGAATTTTCAATTATGTTCTTAAAAAAGAAAAAATCAAATTTAATATAAAATATAATATTTTTATTTTATCGATACTTTCTTTCGTATTTTGTATATTAAAAAATAATTTTAACTAAAATATTAAATAACAAACCAAGCAAACTCCTAAATGTACATATATATATTTTTTTGTATTTTAAACCATCTATTTTTTTAATTAAAATATATTTTGAATGTAATACAAATCAAACTTATGTTTATTTATTTATTATAATTTGATATACTCCTCCCTCGGGTAAGGCATATGTTTACTTTGAAAATTAAGTTCAATAAATATTGTATTTTTTTTAGTAATATTGATGGATAGTTTTTGCATATAAAATTATTATTATTATTTTTAATTTGAAGTTAAAATATATATATATATTTGATGATATTTATAATTTGTACGTTGTGTTTGGATATACAAAAATAATAAAAACTATACTCTCTTGAATATCACAAACTCAATAATAAATTGGGTAAATGGTTTTTATTTGATCTAATTAAAAAAATTTAAAAATAAAAATGAAAAAATAAAATTCACATGTCCGCCAGGTGTCGCTGACATGGCGGGACACCTGGCCGACACATGGCTTCCGGCGAGTCACGCGAGCGTCTCCGGCGCCAGATGACTAAAACAACAAAAATTTTCCACTTATAGAACTAGTTTGCGACTGACTCCACTTACGATACTAAAATGATAAGGGGTCAGGGACTTAAATAAACAGTTTACCCTAATAAATTTTATCTCAATATATATGCATATAAGTGAATGATAATTAATTTATTATTATTATTATTATTATTATTATCAGAATTATTAGAATTAGAGTTGTTAATCTCACTCAAAAAGGCTACAAGTGTGTAGTAGTGTTTAATTAACTAAAATTCAATTAAGGGCTTTAGATTAGGGGTTAATTAAGCCTAATTAAATTATGGAGGCTATGCCTAAACTCACTTATTCAATCTTAATTAATTCCATCCAATTTCTTATTAGCAGTTGATAATTTCAATTTATATTAATTAATCGTAATATTAATTTTTAATTTAATTGTAATTAGACAAACAATAAAATAAAATAATTTGATATAAGATATAGCGTGGAGGAATGGATGAAAAATATAGTCAACACTGTGACCTTATATATATATATATATATATATGTATCATTAATATTAATGTCTTGATTTATTCTGATTTTATTAAATAAATTATTTAAACATCATGGCCAAACAAAGATTGGTGGAGAGGAAGTTCATTATATAACACATACACACACATATTATAATGATAATAATAATAATAATAATAATAATAATAATAATAATAATAATAGTTCCGTAATGGATGATCTGATGGTTAGGAGTTGAATTTGTGACCGTAAGATCATGGGTTTAAATTTCCGTCGGGTCTGGTTTGCAGGGTTCCCACGTCATAAAAATATAATTTTATTTCTTAAGATTAAGAATGTGTGTTTATATGTAACTTGATTTTGTTTATTTTGTATTTTAAAGTGAAAAATAATTGTTATATATAATATTTTAAATTAAAATACATACTTTTTAATAATAATTTTGGATAAAAAACAAAATATAAAATTAAAATTAGAAGAAAATACAAACTCAAGTTTTGGAAAATTTTAAAAATGGTAAAACATTTGGGGTTTGTTTGTTTTTAATTTTAAATACAAACCAATGTTATTCAACTCGCATGATATTCGATTAAAATATATTATCTCCATCCGTTAAACCGAGGGACATTTTTTTTTTTTTGTAAATTACAAAGAAAGTGTCTTTAAATTTGGCGGAGAAAATATTATTTTCTTTTATAAATCACATATAAATAAAAATTCAAATCTAAATCTAAATTTTAAATCAAAATAAAATAAATCCTAGAATATTTAGTGTTATGTTTTATAAGATGAAATCATGTATTTGATGTAATATGATTTTTAAAAGCACTTATATCATGTATATGTAAAGCATATTATTTAATAAATTTATAGGTAGTATATATATATATATATTGGTTTAAAAACTCCTATATAAATAGCATAGTTGGTATTTTAAAAATATAAATTAATATATTATATGATTAATTTTTTTTAAAATAGTATATGTTTAATATTTTTAACATTATATCTCTACAAAATATATAATAAGAATATTATTTTATAGTTAATAAAATTTTATATAATACAAATAAATAGAATATATATTTATTTATAATTAACTTAAAGTAGTTCTATAAAAAAGTTGAAGAGTTTTAAATATAAATAAAAATATTTATTTATTAAAGAAAAATATACAAATAAAGAGGTTTTTACTAAATTATAACGTGTGCTAAGATATGTTATAAATTTAATTAAATTTATTTATATCTGTTATTATATTTAATATTAATAAATTTACTAAAATAAAAAAAAGTCATCTATTATGAGACAAAAAAAAAAAAAAGAGGAATAAATATTTTGTAAATCTCCTCTACTATCTTTCAAATGTATATTTTTTTGGTACAAATTTTAGTATGAATATTATTATTTTTTTTATATTTGTTTTTATTATAATAAAAAACTAAAAAAATAAATGAAAAATATTTTTTAATTATAGCAAAAAATAATTTTTTTTTTTGACATAAGAATTAGTTGTTTATGTATTTATTTATTTATTGTATTTATATATCCTTAAATATGATATTACACCTTGTTCTTTTTTTTTATATTATATATATTTTTTTATAACATGAGAGTCCGCAGTTTGCTACTCGAAAGTGCACACTGGGTAAACTTCTGACCGAACCTAATACGCTGTAAACTAGGTTCGACAAGACAAATCACACTAGGTGAACCCTGTGTAATAGATAAATAAAAAATTACTCAATATATATAGAAAAATAAAAACTATATACACCATAAATTACAAAAGTTTGAGACATTTTGAATAAAAAGAATAACAAAAAAATATATATTGAAATTTATTATGCAAAAAGCGAAGGGTGTGTTTCTATCACATTAATTTTATATCATAAAACAAACACGTCCTAAAAATTAATTTTATATCAAAATATTATATTAATTTATATTTATATCATATTAAATAATTATTCAAATTTAAAATTTTAATATTCAAATAAAAAATGAAAATTGAAACTCCAAATAATGTTGATTGAGTAGTAAGAGAATAATTTAAATTCCAAAAAAGAAAAAAAATAAAAAGAAAAATCACATATTTAAATAAATAAATAAGTATATATATCACAATTACTATTTATTTTTTAATTAACTAGTATAATATATATAAAAAATAGATACTCGTTCCGTCCATTTCTAAGGTTATATTTACCATGTGTGTAATT